AATTATTAGAAGACTGATTTGAAAGTTATGGGGTCCAGGCCCCTTCTCTCCTGCTCTGGCCCTCCTCCATTCCCCACTTCCCAGAGTTGACTGTAACTTCAGTATATCTTCTGCTTTGAGAAGTTGCCCTCACATTTCTACTCTGTCATGTTAGCCACTAAGTCTTCACCTGGATTCTTTGCACACTTAGTTCTTTAATTTTGTTTAGAGTAAGCCTATGGGCTATATGGAGCCATCTAGGGGTTTTTTAGTAAACTTATCCTTTTGGGCACTCGAGAAACCCTTTTACAAAATTCGGAGATAACCATCAATCTGGCCTAGGGAAAACTAAAAGCCACAGGTAGATGATGATTTGGGGCAGGGTCTGTTGCAAACATTCCCGCGGTGTGCAAATGTTTGGGTTCCTACTCTACCGTGCACTGGGTTGTGTCTTGAGCCTTCCTTGATGTACAAGACACAGTTCCTGTTCTCAAGGCACACAATCTACAGATTGAAGAGCCACTGCTGCACTGCGGTGTATGGACTTGTAAACAGTGAGTGGTATGGGAACACAGGAGGGGCACCTAGGTTTCCTGGAAGAGTGATGTCCAAGTCAGACCTGAAGCATAAGCAGGAGTTAGCCCAGAGCAGAGGGAACAGCAGGTGTGAAGGCAAAGGAGAGACCACAGCCCGACTGAGGAACTGCATGTTGGTCCAGAGCCAGAAAAGGCAGCGGCAAGAGACAAGCAGTGTAAAGGCTCCTGACTGCAGGGAGAGGAATTTGGACTTGATCCTGATGCCCTGGGAAGCCATTTAAGGTTTTTAAGCAGGTGCGGTTTAGAATAGCAGGTAAAAGCATGGATTGGAGGATTGGAGGGAGCCAGACGGAGAGAGTAATACCAGCAGGGGATGCTGTTGGACTGAGCTGGGACAGTCGTGGAAGTGGAAGTGTGAGTTCTAGAGAGGAGACACTATTGAGTTCAGTCCACTAAGTGGGGGGAGGGGGAGGGCAGAGTAAGGGTGCTGCCAGGGATCCCGTCGTAACGCTCCTGGGTAAGTGATGGTACCATTTTCTGAGACTGGGTCTTCAGTGGACATTTAAATGGCCAAATGCAGGGGGCAGTTGAATGTGGGCCTATTGCTGAGGAGAGAGCAAGTCTCATGCCCAGTCTGAGCACCCAGCAGAGTGGCAGGGTAGCATTTGGGTGGGGCATGGATGAGAGCAGCCTCAGCAGATTAGAAGGTGGGGTTAAACAGGTAGACAAGCTTTTAAGGTAAGGCCACGAACAGCAGGTTTTGCGTTTTTAATGAGCCAGGTGATTCGAACAGTTTAAACATACTGCGAAGCAGTAGATGAAGCTGGAGCCAGAGGGGACGCGGCGGCCCCAGAGCAAAGCCCTGAGTAAAGCGGGGGCTGGACCTAGAGCAGAGGCGCAGCAGCTGCCCCTGAAGGGAGGACGGGAGGCTGGCTGTGGGCGAAGGGAGGTCAGCAATTTGGTACCAGGTGTTCGTTGCTGGCCAATAGCTCTGGGTTTCACTGTGATGGAAGAGGCAGGGTCTCATGCCAGTGAGGAGAAAGAAGGAGCTGCATAGCAGGGGGCAAAGACTTTAAGTACTTGTCCAAAATGGGAGGAAGCTGAGTGGGGAAACAGGATTGCTCTGGGGGTTGGAGGCCTTCACTAGCTCACCAGAGGTTCACGAGTACTTGGAGAGAGGCCATCAGTTTAATGCCTGTGCCCTGGGCCTGATGGACTTTCCTCCTTTATTTTCTCAAATACGCAACATTAGACAAGTTTATTAGTCATTTCACTGTATCCTTTCAGAGGCTGACAGACAACTGAGTCTTACATCACCCACCAGTCGGCAACCACATGGGGGTGGGTCAGGCAGCCTCACATTTCTCTCTTCATCCAGGCTTAAAACCCCTGCACCACACAGCCTTGGATGTGTGCCGGGGAGCCATCCTGTCAGCCAGAGCCCTCTGGCCTTTCCAGAATTCTGGCAGAGTTCTTGAAACTGAAACCTTGAGGACAGGAAGGTTTTCAAGCAGGAGCCAAACAGATCCACCTAAAACATCCCTATATCCCTCTGTTATAGAAGAGCTCCGTTTCTTCCGTTGCAGACTGAATTTCCTTTTCAAGCTTACTGCATTGTATCTGAAAAACAAAGTTAAGTTCTTTATTTTGAGAGCTTTTCTTGCTTATGAAACCAAGTTTTAAAAAAATTTTCAGAAAACACTTATTTCACAGTCCAGCCTTTTCTGTGACATCTAAAGCAAAAACAACTTCTTGAAGACTTTCTTATGGAAAATGTCACACATAAGCAAATGCAGAAAGAACACCGTGAACCCTCATATACTCATGACTCATGGTTAACTATTAACAACTGGCCCACCTTATTTCATCAAGCCTCCCCCATTCCCAGGTGTGGGGTATTTTCCTGAGTATATGAAGGCAATTCTCAGATGTGTTGTTTTACCTATAAATACTTCAGTATGAAATTCCAAATGCTAAAGACTTTGCCACATAACTACTATGCTATTATCACGTATCACAAAATGGAACAAAAATCCCCTACACACAGCAGCATTTCCAGTCCAGCAAGGGTGGCAGAAGTCCTAGCTGACCCTGGCAGACAGAGGCAGCTCATGGGAAAGGAGCTTTGCAAGGGACCAGTTTTACTGTCAGGGTCCTTGAAGTTCTAGACCCAGAAGTGGCCACAGCCTGCAGTACATCTGCTATGTCCTGGGCAGGGGTCCCTCTTGGCATTGGGCTTTCTCTGCAAGGCAGAACAGGGAGGCAGGGCCCCCACCAACCCAAGACCACCATTCAGCTACCTCTGTACCCACCTTGGACCAACAGGGTATTTTCAAGGTCCAGCAAAAGCCGAGACTTGCTTGAGGGGGTTGGGAAGGGGCTGTCCCGAGGGGTGACAGACTCCATTTCCTGCCTCTACTCTGGCCTCTGAAAGCCACGCCCCTTGCATGGCCCACCTGCTGCCTTCATACCTGCTTCCTTGGCCTGGCAGTGCAGGCCCCACACCTGGCCCCAATTATCCTGCCATCACATCCAGTCATGCACGCTCAGGCACACTGGACTCAGCCCTCCCGTGCCCTCCACTGGGAATGCCTGCTTCCCTTCCCCATCTCTGCCTGCTCAGAGGCATCCACGTCCAAAGTCTCTCTCCTGCAGCCTTTCTTGATCAGCTGGCAGCTCTCTTCTTTCCATAATTTCCCTACAGCCTTTCAGTCACGTCTACTTTCTATCATGTGACGATCGTTTCCATATGAGACCCATTACCCTTCCCACAAAAGCCTGTGGCATAAACTGCCATCTACCTCTAACACCTATGCTCTTCTTCCGTGGCAGAATTTTAAAAAGGTCCAGAATAAAAAGCTCACTGTCCAGATGCCCCTGCAGTGAAGCTTAGCCACATGACTGAGTTCTGGCCAACAGGATGGAGGCAGAAGCGCCATGCAGCGGGGAATGAGAACGGTGCCCACCTGGGGGATGAGGGCCAGACCCTAGGAACGGCGGCGTGCTGGGCTGGGGGCAATCCAGTCCCTGCAGACTTCACGACACACTTCTCTGGCCACCTCACACTTCATCTGAATGAGAAATAAACTTCTACCTTGTTCAAAGCCCTGTAATTTTGGATCTTGGTGACAACCAGATGTAATCCTAGCTAACAGAGAGCCCTGCCTTCCGGTTCTCCACCCTGGCTACTGGCATCATGCCCAAGCCAGAAATCTGAGTGGCCCCCTGGGTCCCTTTCTCTTTACCACTTTTATCCCCAATCTGAATGGTCACAAGTTCTGACTTGTCCAATTGAAGTATTTCCCTCCAACCTACCACCACAGACCCCATCACCTCCAGCCAGAACACATCTATGGTCCCCCAGCGGCCCTCCCCACTTCCAGGACCGCCACCACCTACAACATGGGATCCAGAGAACAGGACGCCTAAAATATAACCGGACTGCACCATGTCCCCCTTGAAACGTCTCCCTCATTGCCTCCTAAGTTCCACCACCTTCCAGGGCCTGTGGGGTCCATTACCATCTGGCCAGAGCCCAGGCACGCCGGGCCCTGCCCTCCACGGCTGAATAACCTCTAGGGGAACTTCCTCCGGCCCCCGAGCCTCAGGCTCTTCATCTGTAAAACAGGAAAACAAACTACCCTGAGGTGAGACTAACTGACCGGCACAGTCCCAGGACACAGAAGGTGCTGGATAAACAGAAGCCTCACTTGCTGGAGATGGCAATGCCCTGCAGCTCCGTCTGTCACACCCCAGCCCTCTGGGAGCAGAGGGTCAGCGGGGGCCACGCCAGAGCAGATCTCCACACCTGGTGCGAGCTGGTCCCCTTGTCCCCACTGCCCTTCCCCAGCACAGCCCCTTCCCTGGCGGTGGTGACGCTGCCTCTGGTGTCCACACGGCCGGCGTGTGTCTGTCCTCCAGCACAGTCCCACTGCGTCTGCAGTTGCCTCTGTACGGGAGTCTCTCCCTTCGGGCCTCAGGGCCCAGGCACGCCCGTGCAGCCCTGTGGCTGCAAGTCTGGTGGCCCCTGACTCGAGGCCAGGGGGTGGTGTGGTGAACAGAGGAGTGTGAACAGTGAAGGGGGAGAGCCGCCTCTTGTCCTGACCACAGCAGGCTGTCCCAGGTCCAGCCTCTCCAGAAGAGGGGTGACCTTGTGCCCAAAGGGCCCCAGCCACACAGGGACCACAAGCCAAGGACCAAAATGATACCATACAGTAAGGAACCAAGTTAGTTACTCCTGACATCCAAAAACTGAATCCCGTGGCCCACAATGACTTGAATCCATACAAGACAAAGTGAAAGAGGCAGCTGGTTATCTAACAAACTCACTGATCCTGGATTCTGACTCCCCCGTGCCAGCAAATGAGCTCCACCAAAGATTCTGCTCCTTGGACCTCCTGGGCACCCCCTGTGCTCTGCGCTCAGCCAGGTCAGCGTCCCTGGGCTCCTGGGCGCCCCCTGCTCCCCACTTCCCCTATCAAAGCCCGTGGTGGCCGCACATCACTGTTTGCACAGCTGCTCAGCCATGGCTCCCACTGGAGGGCAGGACCCTGTTTACCCACTCACCGCTCACCTCAGCACCAGGGACGCCCTCAGTCAGTTTGTGGAATAAATGTGACAGCCTGGAGGACAGCAGATCGTGGTAGTGGGAAATCCCAGAAGACTGAAACACCCTTGTAAGTGACCTAACCTGAAGATAAGCCACCTGCTCGCTCTGAGTACCATATAACCAGAAGTAATTATTTGCAAAAAGGTTCACTTTTATTGCAATCTTACTGTAGCAAACTGTGTTCTAATAGGTGAGCCTGTGACAATTAAAAATATTTCTTTTCTAGAATTGTAGTTGAATGTGAAACTGCCCCATCTCCTGAGCACCCCCGCCCCTCACTGCCCTCATAGTGAGTATGGTAGCTACCTAAAATGATTTAAATCTTCTATACCATGTGCTGGCAAAGCTCCCTAATTAATGATTCTACATATTTAAACTTACAGAATCAGAGTTTTGAACAAAATAGTTCCATAAATATAATGCTTTTGAGGACATGACTGATTTTTAACTTCAGTGACAGAAACAATTATTTTTAACTTTCAGTCAAGAAATGCCAGAAATCGGTAATATCTACATCAATAGTGTCCCAGATACTAGCAACAGCCCTTTGTAGACACACCCCCTATTGTCTTCATCTCCCTTTACAGTGAATCTCAGAGAATTTGAGCAAACTGATTAGGGCATGAAGAGTGGAGAATTTAAATCCAAGCTGTCTGACTCTTCCTAAATCAACATATTCTAGCCTATAGAGCTGTGCTGTCCGATAGACTAAGTAGCCAATAGCCCACGTGAGTACTTAAGTTAAAATCAGACTAAATTAAAAATTCAGCATGTGGCTAGTGGTGACCACACCGGACAGACCAGATACAGCACATTCCCATCACTGCAGAAAGTTCCACTGGGTGGGGAGTCATTGTAGATTATGGAGTATTTTAATATCCTCAAGGCTTTTTTTTTTTCCTGTCCCAGAAAAATACTTCTGATACATGGTTAAGAAAAACAGAATGGGAAACCTCAGAAGGGATCTGGGGGATGGGATTATGTGTAAGTCAAGTTATTTTGTTTTTTATTTTTGTAGACTTCACAGATTGTTTTAGAAGAATTATTTTATTCTTATAATGAGGGGAAAAAGATGTTATTTTTTTGAGAGAAAGTCGAACAGGGGTCACTTACCCGTCCAATCTGTGGGAAAATGCTGAGAGAGACTGGCACCATCAGCCCCATCACAAGGATAGTACAGGAGAGCTTAAAGGACCACAGGGACCACGGGTATTGCAGGAAGAACTGGGTCCTGGGAGAGATGTTACAGGGTATTCAAGAGGCTCCCCTCTTACCGCGAGGAAGAATGGGCAGCAGGGAGGTTACTGAGGCAACTTCCTCCCACCCCTCCCACCAGGCTCAGTGTCTGACAGGTTTTATAAGGATTTTTACTATCGAAGTGTTTATTCCTACTAGGAAAGATGAGTGTACTACCAACCTTTTAAAAAAGTATGAGAAGACTTCAGGGATGACAGCTGAGGTCCCAAACAGCACTGCTCTGGTGGCTGCTGTGTCTTTAACAGCCTAGTGGAAGTGGAAAGGAAGCCATTCAGCACATGGCAGGAGTCATGTCAGGGATCCTGCAACTGGTGACAGTTCCTCACTAGAAAAGTAATGCCCGTGGAAAGAGGTGGAGGTAGCCCCTGCCCGTGACATATGGGGCGGCTGGCATTCCAGCCAGGAGTGACTGGGGATGGGCCTCCCTCCCCCTGACCGCACAGTGGTCTCCACCAGTCTGTCAGCCAGCCCAAATAAAATACTGAGTGGCAGTAAAGGCAGCTTATAGGCAAAACCTCACTTAGAACCACAGGGCAGTGCCCTTGGCGGAAATGCTCAATTTGCCCCTGAGGACAGCTCCACATTTTCCTTCCAGTCCAGGACTCAGCCACTGGCTTCCCAATCCTGAACAGTTCCCCACTGATTTCCACTCCTTGCCGTGCAGGAATCCTGCAGAAAGCCCGGCTCAGGGCACACACCCATGTGCAACATGCATGAGGCCACCTGCAGGCGCCCACCTGCTGCTTGTGCCATTAAGCGTGCTATGACGTTATTTTGTACAAACATGTACGTATAGTATATAATATTTTGTCATCTTTTCTCCAATAGACATCACTCTTTATGTTGAACATTTAAACAGGTAATTTGCTGTATGGGTTATAAGCACAAAATCATGTGCACGCAAGGGCAATGGAAGACAGTCAAGGCACATTTTGACCATAGATGATCCTCATGTGTTAACAGCAGAATCTGACCCCTCAGAAAGACCCGGCTGCATATACAGCTCTGCTCTGCACAAGATGAGCAGGCACACACACCACCACTCCTTTCCCCAGCTCTTCTCCCTCCACTTCGGCTTCCCAGGACATAGCTAAGCAACCTGCCGGGCTCCTCTCCTGTACCCCGGGAGTGATGCTCACTCCGGCTCAGCTCATCCGATCCCTCATGCCCTTCCCCCATCGGGGACAGAGGGAGCCAAGGAGGGTGGCTTTTAAAACAAACTTTCAGAAATATAAAATAAAGTTGCTCCACTTCAGGTAGAGAAAAGTGGCTTGCTGAGCATGGTGTTTCAACACCAGTGAGGTGAGGCCAGCCTCTCTCCATGTGTCTCATGTGCAAGGGAAGGACATTTCAAGCACCGTCATAAAGAAGCACTGGGGGACACGTTCTGGTTCTACTGAGTGGCTTACAAGACTAGTCAAGGGAAAACGACATGGACGGGGCTCTGGAAATCTGATCAGAGGTGCCCTATTACAATCAGATATTGCTGGTTACACAGTTTCTGAAATTTTAGCCAAAGAAAATAAACCTTTGGGGACAGGGAAATGAAAAAAGAATGTTTATGCTTACGCACAGTTGCAGACACTTAATTCTGGAGGAAGATAAACTTTTTTTTAAAAGAGCAGACCATCAAACCTTTCTTTTACTCTAAAATGGCCTTGAGGCAAAAAACGAAGTTCCTCCAGGTGAGATGGACTAGGTATCTACATAGCTAGCAGGGCCTGAGGCTAAGCGCTCCCGGTTCCAGAGAGAAGGGATTCTGACTGGCTGTGGTTTGGGTGTCCAGGGCCTAGCACAGTGTCTGGTGGGCAGAAGGTGCTGAGGAGCAGCTTGTGGATTAAATATGTGCACACTCTTCTCTTTGGCTGTATGGACAGTTGACAGCAACACTCACGCTCTGCAGTTAAATTGAGTTCAAGAGTAATGCAAACATATGTCCACACAAAGAACTGCACATGAACATTCAAAGCAGCATAATTCACAGTAGCCCCAAAACCGGACACATCCAAATATCCATCACCTGGGAATGGATAAGCGGTATGTGTACATGCATACAATGGAATGCCACTCAGCAAGGAAAGGCAACACGCTATGGATACATGGTAAAGATGGATGAATCTCAAAGGGAAAGAAGCCAGACACAAAAAACTATTGTACGATTCATTTATATAAATTTTTTAAAAAAGGCAAAACTATTAAGACCTAAGGCAGATCAGTGCTTCCCTGGGCTGGGATGGGAGGGGGCAGTGACTATAAATGGGCATGAGGGAAATTCTTAGGGTCCTGAAAATGTTCTACAACTGGACTGTGCTGGTGGTGCACAACTGTTTAAATTTACTAAAATTCATTAAATTCTATTATCATATTGTAGTATGTAAATGACATCTCAATAAAGCTGTTAAAAATGTCCCTTGGGGAGTTTTCTTAGGCACAGAACCTTTATTTAAAAAATGGGGTATTTTATTTCTAAGCAATTTCTCCCCTTGTTTATAATTACCATATTCCCACTGTAATTCATTTAGAAAGGTGGCCATTATATTTAGACACACTCCTAAATAGTCTGGTAGAAATACAGGTGCATGTATCTGATAGTTTATCATTCAGTTTTGGAAATCATTGATAGGATTTAGAGCATTATGTTTCGTGAGCAGAAAATGAAGCATTTACTGACGAAACGAGCGGCCACCTTTCCTGACCTCTTCTACCGACATTCGGGACAGAAGGCCGTCCAGCAGGCTAAGAGTCCCCTGGAGCAGGGACACTGCGAAGCCCAGCTACTCTCTTCGGTCTGTATTGGGCTGCTCCCCACTGCTCTTCGTGCCAGTTGCAAACAACTGCCTCACATTTTAATTCTTTAGCTAAAGTCACTTCACAGAACCAAAATAGATCTCACCTGCTTAAAATCATTTTTTTAAGAAGTCCACACCCAAAACGAGAGTACCATGAGCTATTTGAGGTTGAGCTGAATGTCCACAGAAGCCACCGTATTGAATTGAACAAAAGAATAAACTGTTAAATAATAAAACCTGTTAAAAATTGAGGCCTTTTAGGAGAGTTCTGGTCAGAGCATTGGATTTCCTTAGGCCATCCTTGACAGAAAAATGGTCCCTAAAGATGAAGACTATAAGAAAATCTGCTGGGACGTGGAGAGGGAGGGCAGTTTTTAGACTCAGAGAGGGTGTCTGAGTTCCACGAATACAGAGCAGACTGGGAGGGTGGGCGCTGAGCGTGAACAACAAGATCTCACTCAGAGGGGGCCTAGCATTTGGCAGAGGCTCATGTGTGATGGCCATTCTTATGGGTCAACTTGGCTAGGCTATTTAATCAAATACTAACCTAGGTGCTGCCGTGGGCTATTCTGTAGGTGTGGCCAACATCTACAATCAGTTGAAAATAAAGGAGGTTACCCTTCATGGTGTGGATGGGCCTCATCTAATATGCTGGAATGACTCAAGAGCAAAACCCGAAGCTTCTCTAAGAAAAATTCTGCCTGAAGACTGCAGGCAGCATCGGCTCCTGTTTCTAGCCTGCCGGCCTGTCCTACACAACACTACCTCACCAGCCCTGGAATTGCAGGAGTCAGTTTACTTAAAATTGATTTTGTTTTACTATCTTTTAAAGATCAGGGTGGAAAATGTAAAATGTCCCTCTTGGCGTCATGAGGGAAGACAGGATAAGGAAAGGTTGAAGGGAGACATGAATTTCTTAGCTGCTCTCAAACAGAAAACTCAGTTCTTTGCCCCAAAGGCAAACAGCTATGGCTCCATTGTGTCCCCTACCTTCGTCCCAGCTTTTCTGGAATAGCCTATGACATTGCCTTCCTTGTCCATGACCTCAATCCCCCGCATGGGCTCTAAACCTCGGGATGCAACAACATTCATTGCGCTGACTTGAGCTGTGGATGTAAAGAGGAGAACATGAAATCGAGGAATAAGTTTCAGACCAGCAAAGGAACATCTCTTCTGGTATTAAGACTCTTTCTCTGGTGGCTGCACTTCCCTAACCCTTGGGTGGTCACTTGACATGTGCTGGCTAAGTAAGCTCTCTCCTGGGGCCATGGGCTAGGGTCACAGTTGCTGGCCTCTCAGTCTTAGATCCTGATTACCACCCAGCACTCGGCTCCCGCACCCCTGGAAGTAGAGCCGGGCTCCCTGACAGGATTTCAAGAGAAACCCCAGGATCCTTGAAATACTCCCTTCCTCCTTTTCTTAAGCTGGTTTGACCAGGTTTCTGTAACGTTATTGCCCAAATTTTGCTACTGACATCATTCTACCAACTCTTCAAACTGCTGTGATTCTCAAACTCAAATATGGAACATGAACTAGTGAATCTGCAGGTTGGCAAACTTTTAAACAGTTGGTAAATACCTCTTTCACTCCCTCTGGAGTAAGACTACTGGCTTGAAATCCCCTATACACAACTTCTGCCCTGTGTGACACTAGGAAGGATACTTAATCTTCCCCTGCCTCAGTCTCCTTATCTGTAAATGGGAATACTAGTATTAATTATTATGTAAGTATTAAATAATAACTTACCTACCCATAAGTTATTGTCAGGATCAAGTAAAATAACACATGTAGGAAGCTTGTACAGAGAATTGTTAAGATATTATTTGTGTGTCCATTTGTGTTCATTCTTTGACAAGTAAAGGGATGTCTACAAAGAAAGTGTCACCTCTCAAACCAGAGACCTAATGTGGGTCTGGGGTCCTGACAAGTTTACCCGCGGGTAAACAGAAGCTGTCATCAGCCACAGTGTGGCCAAGGGACCCAGGCGTCTCTGAAGATGGAGGAGGCCTCCGAAACAACAGAGACTGCGTGCTTTCTGCTTACCGAGAACAATGACAGGAAGGGCTCTTCTCACCAAAACGTTATTCAGTGAATACCTCACTTGGAACAAACGAGGCAATAACTAGAAAAGACAGAAATATCATGGGACCAGAAAGTCAGCTGAACATACTCAACAAGCAGAGAGCTAGCATCAACCTGGCCCCCATCGCAGGTCAGACCACTGCAGTGGACTCCATGTATTTTCTAATTTTTGCAACACTGAGGTGTTCTCTGACCTTTAGAGGAACACAGGGAGGCTTAGAGAGGTTACATACTTATCCAGAATCACTGAGTGCTTAAAGACTTGAGCCAGGATGGGTCCCCAGGCTTATCAGACTCTAAAGCCTACCTTTGTAACCATGAGAGTGTCCTGACATCCAAAGCAATATACAACTTGTATAACACGTTTATGTAGCATAAATTAATTTTTTTAAAAGACTACAGTACTGAGTATATGCCTAGAAACTTGGGATATTTATATGATTATTTGAGGGTGCCAGGATTATAGGTGACTGTTTTCTTTTTTATGTCTTCTTTATATTTTCTGAACTGTTTTAAGTTGGAACATAAATTAATAATTCAGAATAAATAGTTTTTGACTCTGAGGAATACAAAAAAGTCAACAGATTTTTAAAATACCCACTCCAAGAAAGGTTGAAGAAGCAATTACTCCTGCCGCTAGCGATATACTCTCATATGGACGACAGTCCTAAGGAAACACAAAAGCACATATTTAGCAAACACCAGTTTCACCCAGCAAGGATCATTAAAGCAAACAAACAACTCCAAAATAAATAATAGAGAACTGTATACCCTCTGGCCTCCTAATACTCACGTAACTTGCGTTTCCATTGATGACGTTGAATGTTGTAGTATAGGTGAAGAAGGAAAACTGTAGAAAGAGACAAATAGGTTACATTTTGGTTTCAAGCACAACAGAATTCAGTAATTATGGAACAGAAATGACTGCTACCTGAGGTAAGACCATGGCCTTGAGACTTTTTACTGACACCAGAGACAAAAATACCTTGTAAGAAAACAAAGCAGAGTTGTAAGTTTCGGGGGAGGGAGAGCCTGCAGGGGCAAAGAATTTGCCAGGGGAAAATGGGGAGCTAAGCAGAAGAAGAAGGTGTGGATGCAGGGGGCTACTGGTCAGTGGACAAGTGATGTCCAGTGAGCACCTAAGGGGCACTGAGGACACCCGGGAGTCTCACAGTGGTCCCTGTCTCCAAAACGTGCAACAGAGCAGGGCAGCTGGCAGGTATGCACTTGCAAAGAGATGTGGACACAGGGCAGGTGTGGAAGAAGTGACAGATGAGTGCTGTCACTTTGTGAGAGCACCTCTGTGAGAGCCAAGTTGGAGAATAGCCTCGCTGGGGGTCAATTCCAGGTCCCAGGTGACGGCGTGTATGGAGGTAGGGGGACTTGGGGAGAGAAGGTAACGGGCAAGTATGTGGACTGTGGCCAGGGGCTCATCTTAATTCATGGATCTCCTCCATGTGCTCTGAAGTGCTTGGCACATAGTAGGTGGCCAAAGAAAGGATTACTTGGCGATACCATGGATCTTCAAAAGGGCCAAAGTGACCAACGGGGTAACTGGGGGTGGGGGAGGGGAGGGGGACTAGATGAATGGCAGACAAGGGTCAGATGTAGGGGATCCATAACCATCTATCAGACAGTCACAGGACAGGGGTCCAGAGGTGGAGGACATGGGTCGCGAGGTTAGGAGATGGACGGCCCTCTTCCTAAAGCCCTGGCGTGGCAGCTGACTCACCATGGGTGCCGTGAAAGGCAGGAGCGCTGGCAAAGAAGAGAAGAGGGTCAGTGACCAGGCTGGTGAGGCAAAGAGGCCAGGACATACATGCCCACCTGGAAACCTCTTCCCTGGCCTCCGGGGGGCACAGTTGACACTTTTTGCTCATTTTTTTTTTTCATAATAAAAATAACTGTGTGTATGGCAAAAGTTTAAATCGGCAGCGAAGGAAGCACGGAAAGGCCTCCAAGGCCGTCTCTAGCCTTCCCAGGCCCCCACAGGCCAGCTGTGGTCATTCCTCCACATGCATGTAATACACCTGTGATCCTGAGATTCATAAGAAGAAAAATGTATGGGCTCTTTGTCCCCGTTCCTAGCACAGGCATCCTACAAGCCTTGGAAATTCCTGAGCAAGAAGGGCATCAAGTGAGAGGAGCATCTTTCCTGACAAGCCCCTCTGAACCACACCTGAGGTTCTGTGAATGGGTGACTTGTGGAAAGCCCTGTGGCTGGGGGCTGGCTGCCAGGGGGACCAACCAGGACACCCCCAATCTCCGTGTCCAGGGAAGAAGGGAGCCAGAGGTTGGGCTAATCACCAATGGGTGATGATTTAATCAACTGTGCCCATGAATAATACCTTCATGTCAAACCACTAACCCAGGCAGTCAGGAGAGCCTCTGGGGAGTGAGCGCAGGAGGGCTAGGGGTCGGCAGGCTGAAGAGGGCACGGAAGCGCTGCCCTTCCTCCATCCCTTGCCCTAGGCACCTCTTCCATCAGGCTGTTCCTGAGCTACACCCTTTTATAATGAGCCTGTAATCTGGTAAGCAAACTGTTTTCCTGAGTTTGTGAACCATTCTAGCAATTTCAAACCCAAGTTGGGAGGCATAGGAACCTCTGATTTACAGCAGATTGATCAGAAGCAGATGACAACCTGCACTTCCCACTGGCACCTGAAATGGGGAACAGCCCTATGGGGTGGAGCCCTTAACTTGTGGGACCTGACACTACCTCCAGGTAGATAGTACCCAAATTGAGGAAAATAATAGAATGCTCAGCTGGTGCCACAGAACTGACAGGCGTGGAGAAAAGCCTCCACATCTGGTGCAGGAGTACTGAAAGCGTTGGGAGGAAAAACAAGAGTGTTTTTCCTTCACTACATCTATCAGGACATATGCAAATTCTCACTCTCCTGTGCTAGCTCTCACATACACACAACACTTATTTATACAGACAGGATTACTATATGCTGTCTTATACTTCTTTTTTCTCCTTAATATAGTTCCTCAAGATCCACTCCTCCACTTTAACACACACCTCATTTTTTTAAATGAATTCTTTAACTGCAGTCTGAATTATTTGATATTTATGGTGTTCCTAGTTTCTCATTTAGAATAGAGAGAGAATTTTATAGTTGGAAGGACCCTATGACATCATGGGTTTTATTTCCCTTATCATAGTTGATATGAAAGACAGAGAATACTAAACAGAATTCCTAACATTAGCACTTTAAGAGCTACAAATTCTGGAACCATCAGTGCAGGAATTGGTGGGTTCTTTGGGGCACGGTGGAGCAGGGCAGATTCAGCCGCAGGACTGTGCCCTCCCCACAGAGCCCAGATATTCTCTTAAGACTGGACCCAACTCTGGGTCCCAAACCTGCTCTTCTCCCCTATCAACCCCAGACCTTTCAAATATCCCATTTAAGCTATGGTTCCCAGACTCCTGATCAGAAATCCTTCTTGGAAAAAATCAAATAAGACAGGCAGAGTTTGGTAACTGTTACAAATCACATCTTCCCAACCCACATTCAAGAATTAGAATCAGCTCACCTGCAGGTCGAAAAGGAACAGGGATCAGTTTGCTGTTGTCAGGATGTACTGTTGACTTTAAAAGGGTGAACACAAAGGTTATTTGATGTTTGATTTTGTTATATAAGGTGGCCAAAAACTAGGAAGGTGCTGAAACTTACAAGACTTCTCTTCCAAGCCTCCTGTATCTAAAAAGAAAAAAAAAAAAGCAACAGCTTTTAAAGGCGGCTTGGCAGCAAAAAAGTTTCTTCAGTCTCATTTCCGGTGCCACCTTTGCTCCGCTTTTCAGAGAGCGAAGGCCAGAACTGTTTAAAACCACATGGACAGAACAAATCAAAATAAATGAATCAAATAAATCAAACAAACAAAGGACCTACAACAAGCAAAGAAATGATCCACACAGAGAGATCAACCAGAACATTAAAACGTCCTAGTCTCTGACCTTGGAGAGGATTCAAGGCCACCCTATCTGATTCTGCAGGTGAGTCTCACAGTCCAACCTGCTCCGGCTCACAGTAAGCTATGGGCAGACGACACACCATGCCACTAGCCAAGTCACCTGCAATAGAGCCAGGCTGTAAGCGCAGGGCCCCATCCAGTTCCTAGAAAAACCCAAGTCAAATATGTGAATTTTCCACAGGCTGCTTCACAGGACTGATGTCTGTGGGCTCTGACGGCCGCATACATTGCAAAGTAAATACTCGGTTTGAGTTTTCCAGTAGGAGTCTAACTCTGCCCAGGAATAATGCCTCTAATGGGAAATAGATTCTGATTTTGGAGGCCTGCCTAAATTATGGATCTTGCCATGGGGCTCCAAGAACAAGTACAGAGAATCCTCACAAGTATGTTATACAGAAGGAACCCTCTGCCTTTTTCTCCTTAATACTAGTTCTTCCTATTAGTACCTAATACTAATCTGGTTTATGAGAAGGAATTCTAACTACATTTTAAAAAGTAACCCAGTTTTGAAAAGTGGATCCCCTGGACAGTGTTTACAATGACAAAATTCTATTTAATTTCAGACCATGCAAGCAGAATCGCTGAAGGCAATCACACCCAGCCTTGAGCCAGGCACACAGACATACCCTTTGGTCCTCCAAAGATCCGAATGCATCTTCATTTGTTAACAACAGCTGCCTTGATTTTTCTATTTTTTCCTATAATCAGATAGTAAGAAATCAAGCAATGGTCTCCAGATTGTTCAGCTTCATCCACAAATTTAGGAATCACATGTTCATTCACACCTGGTTTCAGGGCAACGTGTAGCCAAGGCTCCCTGTGCCCTGAGAATTCCCACTAGGAGAGTGCCCTGTGTGACTCTGAGTCAGACCACCCAGTTTTCCAGGCAGCTCCAGCACCTCACCCCACTGGTGCTGCCCTCTCCCAGCCGTTCTCTGATGCCACTGTCTCCATGAATGATGCCACCGTCTGCTTGGCTATGCAAATCAGAAACCTGGAAGCCCCTCCTCTCTCATTCACCCTCCCAGTTATTCAATCTCTCTCAATGTGAGAAAAAAAATTAAATACAGAAAATACAAAGAGTGATTACATACTCATAAAGCCCCTCACCCAGGATTAACTGTAAACATTTGTGGTTTTATTTGCTTCTAATTTTCCTTTTTCTAGAAAGAGCCATCACCCCCCAGTCTCATCTCCATCCCCATTCTATCAGAGTTATGAGTTCAAGGCATAAACTTCCAGGCCATTTTTTTATACTTACAGATACATATGTGTACCCATAAGCAAATACATAGTATTGTTTTTTTATGTTATTTGCATAAATGCTGTACTTTATGCATCTTGCTTTTTCCACTAAACAGATATCACATTTTTCCATTTACCATCATATATATCATGTTTCCACTTACTATCATATGTTGATACACAGATAAGCACTTTCAATAGCTAATCAGTATTCCACTTTATCACACTGTACTTCTTTATTTCTCTGATGGCATTCAGCTTGTTTGTTGTTTTTTCTCTATTATAAGCAAGGCTATACAGAACATCTTCAGTACAAGGATGAGAGTGTCCCTTTGGGCCTGGCCCTGTAGGGCTATTGCCAATGACAGGGCATCTCCTCCTCTTCATCCCCCAGTGACACCTGGTTCAAACCCTCATCTTTCACTTGGACAGCTGAGCCATCCCCTGAAAGGATCACTTTACCTACAGTCTGGTCCCCACTGGTTAGTTGCCACATGGTGACCAAGGAGAACCTCCAAAACACAACCCCTCTCATCTGAATGAAACACAAGAACTGCCTGGTTTCTCCCATTAAAGCCCCAGTGACTGGGAGGTGTAATCTCCTCTAGGCTTTGCTTACAGTCCCCAATCCGTGACAGGTCCTTCTTAGCCCCTCCCTCTCAGTCTTCCCGCAACACTCTCCCCATTTCCCTGCCCCACCCTAGGTTGAGGTCTGTGACTAGCTTGTCCTCCATTACCAGGGAAGATTACCTTGATCCCCTCTGAACCATGAGCATCTAGCCTAGGGCTTGGTATTACCTATTAAATGGACGATTTTATTTAGCACCCTTCCAATCTAACAAGCTCATTCAGAAGGAATCAAAACATAATAATATACATGGATTCTATTATTTCAACTGCTTTCAAAAGTGACACAGTGTTCATATTTCAGAATAAAATACGAAATTCATATCTCTGAAAACAAGAAAATACTTACAACTGAAATGATCAAATTTGTAGGATCCAATAATTCTGTCCACTGAAGAAATCTTTGAAAAAAAGACTTAAGAGGGGAAAAGTACCACAGAGTGGTTAACAGCAGCAGAAAAACAGAGATATAAGTTAATAAGGTTGGATGACATCATTTTTATGCAGCTAACAGGGCCTTCTCCTGCAGCACCTCCTGAAATCTTCATGACACCCCCACCTTACAGGTCTCTCAGAAGAAACTGAGGCTTAGAAGGGATCATGAATGGGTTCAGGGAAACCCAGCCAGAAAAAGACTTGACACGGCAGCCTGTGCTCATAACTCCACTATCAAATTGCTTTTGAGGGTTAAAAGCCCAGACTTTGGGCTCATATGGGCCTATGCTCACATCCCACATACGACCTTTAAGCAACTACCCAGAAAGGTCTCAGAATCTGTTTCTTCACCCTCTTAGAGTTGTTCTAAGGCTTAACTGAAATCACAAAGAACCCACATGCCAGCAAGGCCTCGATAAAGGCAGACCGGTTCACACTTCTTAATCCCAAAAGCCCTAAACTCTGTAGCTCTGGTTTTGAGTCTTGGCTCTGCCAGGACAATCTGGGCACCCTGTTCCTTTTCAACCTCTCCACCTAAAAAAAACTGGGATAGGCCCTACTTTAGGTAAGGGCTGAGAAAGAACCCTCTAGAACTGTACTGTCCACTTAGCCACATGTGGCTATGGAGCCCATGAAATGTGGCTAGGCCAAATCAAGAGGTGCTGTATGTGTAAGAGATGCACCAAATTTTTTGAAGAATTTGTAAAAAAAAAAGATGGACAATAAAATATCTCATTAATAATTTTTATACTGATTATGTGTTGAAATGTTGGTATTGTTAACCAAATACATTATTAAAATTAACTTCAGCTGTTTCATTTTACCTTTTTCAATATGGCTACTAGAAAACTTTAAATTAGACACGGCTCCCGTGCTATTTCTATTGGCCCGCGCCAGACGTGGCCTGCAGGCGGGGCCTCTGCTATCGCCGACCCGCCGCGGCAGTCTCACTTCCTGAGTGGCTGAGCCACCGGGGTTGCAGGCAGGGTCCTCCTGGGGACAGCTGTGCGTCCCCAAACCTGATGCTCGGCAGCAGAGGGCAGGCACCGGGGAGGTGGGGGCTGCCTCCTCTGGAAGATGGAAGGAGTGACCTTGTGGCGACCCTCCCTAGCCAGGCGTGGGGCAGATGACACACGGGACAGCCTTGGCCGTCCGCATCCGGCAGGCCTGGGTTTGATCTTTGTCCCCTTCCGGGGGTGCGGTGGGGAGGCGGGGGGTGCGGCCGCATGGCCCGCCCAAGGTCACCCGGGCCGGCCGGCGAGTCCACTCGGCGCGGCCCCCGCCCTCCCGCCCAGCCGCGCGGGCCCGGGCCGTACTTGGCGTTCGGTGATCCAGAAGCGCACGTTGGGCTCCATGAGGGCTGTGATGCCACCCTACCTTCTCGCCCTGCTCCTCCTCCCGGGCCCTGCGGGCTGGCTGGACGGCCCGCCGCCCCCGGGCGCGGAGGAGGAGCCGGGCGCCGAGCTCCGCCCCGCGCGCGCGCGCCCTCTGTTCTTGCTCCCGGAGTCGCGCGCGCCCGCTGCTCGGTGTCACCACGTGCCATCGCCTGCAGGTCCCACCCCTCCACCGCCCGCACTCCGACCCCCGCATGCCCACCGCTCCCACAGACCAGGTCTTCCCAGACCTGTTCCGCCCCTTCTGGTTGCCCGTCCGCTTCCAGGTCCGGAGGGATCAGCTATCGGAACCCGCATATCACAGTATCCACAGAGAACCCCCACCTTACGCAGCACAGGTGTGTCCGAGCATTTGGACAGTACCCTCGAAAATCCCCTTAATTGCCTTTAAGTCCATTGTACATGGAATTGGAGATTGCCAGGACATAATCTTCATGGCCCAGCGAAAAATGAAAATGTGGCTCCCTTTATTATAAAAAGACAGAGAATTCCAAAGTCTGCATCAGAGCATTAAACAAGCCCTCTAAGTGTGGGGTCCTGCCACCAGCCCGTGCAGCTGACACTTTGTACTGTGCGCTGTCTCCCAGCCTGACAGTTTTTCTCCAGCACTGGGGCAAATCCAGTTTTCTGTTAAACAGCTTAAGTAGGGTCCATTTGTAAGGTAAAAAAATGTGCCTTCCTTCTTCCTGCTGCCACCCTCCCACCCCCCACCCCTGACCCCGCATTAGTGGGGATGAGGGGGTATGCGTGTTCCTTGTTGTTTAGGGTGTGCATGAGGTCCTCAGGGGTCCTGAGTTGGGGACCCAGTGTCACCAAGTACTTAGTTGTGTGACCCTGGTCAATATCGGCGGGTATATTTACTGTAAAATGATGACAATAACTGTATCAGGGTTTTGTTGAGGATCAAATGAGATATACAAGGCTGCGTCCACTGGAGTGCTGTTTGGGCCATTAACACCCAGCTGGCCTACTGCCTCTTTTGCCTTCCCCTCCAGGAACATGAAACCAGCTCATGGTTTTCTTCAGGCCCATGTGACTCTGCCACTCCTTTTCCTCAGCTCACCTGCCTCACTCTTCTACAGCCTTCAGGTTCATCTCCTCTTGAACTTGGGTTGGATGGGACTGGGCTTGGATTAGTGCCTCTTATAAAGTCAGAAAGAATGTAAAACAAAACAAAAAACAAAGAGTTCATCTCCTCTTCCAGGAAGACTTCTCTGATGCCCACAGCTGCGTAATGTGCCCTCCTCAGTTGTCACCCTTATGTCCCAGGAATGCATTTATTGCACCATAGTATTTAGCACACCTGTGATACTCTGTTGGCTCAAGTATGTCACAAATCCAGCCCAGCTGACCACTCTAGATGTTTAGTCTAGTCTTAACCAAGGAGCCAGTGATCCTCTCAGAACAAGTTGACACAACTCTTCTCGAAACCTTCCCAACATTTCCCATCTCAGAATAGGATCCAAAGTCGTTAGCTTAGCTGTAAGACACTCTGGGCTCGCCGTTTTCCTTCCCTATTCCAGTCCAAGCCCTTCAATTTTTGATCCACTCCAAGCCCACTCATGCCTCAGGGCCTTTGCACTTGCCAGGCCCATGCCTAGAACTTTATCCCCTGAACTTCACTTTCAATACATTTCATCTCCTTTGATCCTCATCAAAACCCTGAGACAGGTACAATTATTGCTTTTACTTTACAGGTGGGAAAATAGACCTAGAAAGACTGACTCTCTCTTAAGGGCACCTCTGGCAACCGTATCTAGAACACCTGCAATTCTCTGCCCTAGTTCCTTGTTCCACTTCATTTTCCTCCCAAACAGTCTATGTATTTTATGTTTTTTGATTCCCCCCTCTAGAACGTAGGTATGTGAAGGAAGGAGTCTGTCTTTTTTGTTCATTCTTGTGCTTCAAAAACAGCAGCTGGCATATGGTAGGCATTCAAAGATTTATTGAAATGATGAATAAATGCTTCCAAATCTTTTGCTTGGGCTGTGGAGTTCCTTGGGTGTGGAGCCAGCATCTTACTCATCTTCGTGGGCCCTGAGTTAAATACTCAATAAACGCTTGTTGATATAATCAGAAGGAAAACCAGAGCTACACAACATAAGCTGAACCAGCAATTAATGATGTTAAAAATGCAAATATTTTTAAATGTTTATTTATTTTTGTTATACACTTTGCAGGGAGCACTTCAGAAAAGAATTAAAATGATTTCAAAATGCAATCCCTGGACTCAATAAATATCCTTTATAATTACACAAAATCAGTATCTAGAAATGTATGTATACATCAAGTCAGCTAACAAATAATGTAAGAACTACACAAACTATAAATCTCAGGGATGATAAACATGCACAGTTAAGTCATTTTGCCACTATTTTTTTTTAAAAAACATGATTCTCACTTTTTCAATCACATATACATCAAGTGCAAGAGTTAGCCTACTAATGGTAACAACTTAAAACTGATCTGTTACAAGAAAATTCAGTTTAATGCAAAGAAACTTAAGAACATTTCAGGACCCTTGATCAGAAGCTTTCAACGTTTGTTGTGCTACTCTTGTATACAGAAAGGTTCAATCAAGTAAGGCTAAAAAGGAGTGTTTCCTTTTTCAATTAAAGACATGATCCAAAAAATCGGTGAGCTAGGCATTTTATAAACTAGCTAGCCATCAAAAGTGTACCAATTAAGGACTCCTTATATTAGTAATGAGCCAAATTTAAATAGCCTTAGCCAATGTTACAAAAACAAAACATCTGTGATAACATTTATGACTACAAACATAATTGGGTTTTTGCCTTCTATAATCATCTTTGAAATGCTAAAAGTGAGTTCCAACTGTGGTTCTTTTCTGGTATGAGAAGATGCAGGTGCACATGGGATGATCTACTAATGTACTTTCTCAAAGTATTCTTTGGAAGCAGCAGGACTGGGCTTGATCTGAAAATATAAAAACATTTCATTGGGTAACTAACTTTAATAGTCTCAAAAGTAAGTTGAAAGCTCTCAATCTGTAACTTTTTAAGGATTCGGCTGTTTCCTTTAAGATACATGGATGAAAGTTACTTTCAAAGCCTGCCTGGTCCACCCACCACCTCTTAGCTGCTTCACCCATTTGCACACTGTCTGCACCCCTGCTCTAAGGGTGGGCATCTTATGTGGCCATTGCAGGCCAGCAGCCCTTCATGCTGAGGACTTAGGACCCTCCACAGCACTGCTGGGGTCCCACCAGTTTTGCGAACGAAACCTACTGTAGGAGAATCCGGAGTCCAGTTTGCTGGGCAGACTTCTCCGTGGGTTTCCACAAACTGGAATGCCTTCACCAGGCGGAGGGTCTCTTCCACGCTTCGGCCGACCGGGAGATCATTGACACTCAAATGCTTGATGACTCCATTGGGATCAATTATGAAGAGACCTCTGTGTCAGAATTTATCCTCATTAGTACCACAACAGTACAGAACTAGACAAGAGTCTAACTTCCACCCTCTTCTGTCTTTAATTCTCCTTAATAAAGCATTTATTAAGCTCTATCACATGCTTAAAAGTGGGATTATCATTATATAAAAAACTTTTCATCTCATTAATGATAGATACTTTAACAAAGATGGGACTAAATCAGGCCACCATGGAAACAGGCAGTATAGTCACCTTTACAAATGTAACCTAAAAATATCTAAAAGTTACAGAGAGTAGCACAGAGTGTAAAGACTTATTTATGTATTAGCGATTCAGCACGCATTTTTGGGGGATGCTGTATCAAATCTTGCAAAGAAACCCTGGGCAATTGGGAAGGGACAGAGATGTATTTTATCTGTATTTAGTAAATACTTTTGAAATGAGCAAATTCTTGGGTAAATGTGGGAAAATACAATAGGAAAATCTTTGCATAAAGAATGTACTGGCCTTAAGTGTATGCAGAGCACAAAGCTAAAGGAAAAACCAAGGCTGTCACTCTTTATTACTTGGCAGCAATGTAACGAGATGACCTGCTCTGTGGTCTATGCCCTTCATCTGTACTAGTACTGGTGTTACTATGACAAATTCAGATAATGTTTAATCCACAGGTTTAGCAGTCTTTATTATTATTATTATTTTATTTTTGTTAAGGTATCATTGATATACACTCTTATGAAGGTTTCACATGAAAAACAATGTGAACTACATTCACCCATATTATCAAGTCCCCCCCATACCTCATTGAAGTCACTGTCCATCAGTGTAGTAAGATGCCAGAGGCACTACTTGTCTTCTCTAACAGTTGGTCTTAAAAGGGTGCGGCATTCCAAGTGCTAATCACTCAGGGAAAAGGTAAGTTAGAGGAAACTCACAAGGTAAAAAGGTGCTTCTCCTTCCCTGGGCCTGGCCCTTGGGGGTCTAGGCTCTATGGCTTGATGGGTCCTGGTGCATGCTCCTGGAGAGCGGGGCCACACTGGAGTCCACAGTGTAGACGCAGACAGAGCTAGGATGGAGCAGGCCCACGGACTCCGGAAAGAAAGCCTGATCTTACAGGTCAGTCTATACTCCTTGCCCTTGTCAATCCTAATACTGGAACCAGCAGGGAGGTAACTGCAAAATTAGTAGGACTCTTCAGAGAAGGAAATCCTGGGAGGAAAAAGCCAACACTCTTCTTTTCCTTTCTCTATCAACTCATCAAAGCTTGGCTTTAGTTTATTAAAGGAAAACAGTAATCTCCTTGGAGTAAAAAAGGCCTAAGCCCTAAGGTGACTTCCAGAGCTAAAACTTCAGGTGTAACCCAAAAGGAAAGGACAGAAGTCAGTTACAAGACAGGGCAGGTGAACAGGTTCAAGGTGGCTCCAGCAAAACTGTGAGGCACAGCAAAGCGGGGTCCTCACCTACTTCTGGAGGAAAAGTCCTTCCCAATCCTTCCAGGCAGTGGCCATCAAGATGCCAGTTCTAAGGCCTAAAATCTCATCCTTCCCAGGAAGGTTGCATTTGAATATATTACACAGACACAGGAACACAGACAGAAAGTTTTCATAGTCAAAGGAATAAAGGTCTACCTACAGAATGAATGAGGACAGGAATGAAATTCTGGAACAGGGGTCCTAGCAGCTACCAGGACCTGTGCTAAACACATTAGCAGCCTCACCATACTGAGTCCTCACAACCAACTTGGGGGGTACAGTCTCATTTTAGTTACAGAAAAGCTGGGACACAAAGAGGTTAAATTACATGCCCAAAATTATACAGCTATTAGGTAGCTGCATTTACCAAGAAAAAAAAAATCAAACTCTGGTCTGATTTATACAAGATCTTGCCCATTCTAGGATACCAACTCCTCCCCTGCTAGTACCCCCTTCTCCAACATGCCAGGAGTGTGTTCCCCATAAAAGTGGCTCCCAGACAGTTAGGGAGTAGGGCAGTGCAGAGATGCAACATCCACCTTCAGAAAGAGATACCGGTGGTGCAAGGGGCAGACACATCCTGGCCATTTCTGAAAGACTGCCAACCCTCACAGGATGCACTCAGCAGTGCTTACTACGAGGCTAACTTAAACGATTTAGAGTTTTCAAAATGTTTTGTCCAAGGTCTCTAAAAAACCGCAAAGCAGCAGGATGACGCTGAATAGGAAGACCAATTTTAAGGACACGAGGAACAGGATCTTACCTCAGTGCGACACCAGGACTTTCTAATAGCACACCATAGTCTCGGGAAATCTGCTTAGTCAAGTCTGACAGGAGTGCGATGTTCATGTGGCCCAAACCGCCAGTCTAATGAAAATGCAAACATGAGGGGCTGTCATACTGTGCGCTCTCACAGCCTTCTTGGCTGGGTGCCCTGAGGTTTGAGACTAACACTGGTGGCAGTTAGGTAGCAGGAACTGAGCTCCAACGATGGGTCAAGCCCTGCTCTAAGTCACTCACTTCTTCCTCCCAACCATCCTGGAGTAGACACTGTTATTGTCACCATTTTACAGAAGAGGAAGCTGAGGCACACAAAGGTTAAGTAACTTGCTCCAGGTCACAGCTAGAAAGCGACAGACACAAGGATTTAAACCCAGCTAATACTATATACCTTTCTTTTCCTAATTCCTGAAGTATTCTTTTAGTTGAAGATTAATTTCTGAAGCATAAAAATGGAGAAGTAATTTTAAAAATACTTCAGATGATTTGATATTGATAGTCCAGCAGCATAGCTAGAAATTTTGGTTCTCCTAAGCAAATTTTTAGGCAAGAACACTGACCATGTAACAGTGAAATCACAGAATCTAAGTGCCATTCCACAAGCCATGTGGGACAGGTGGGGTCTACGGGATAATGCCAAGAGGGGAGGCAGAGGACCCAGCTGTGCCCCTACCCTGCTGAGCCTGCTCTCCTTGGAAAATACAAGTCAGTGGAGCATAAATACAGGCAATGTCAAGAGAGAGGTGGATAGGGTTGAACAGGATTTACCTATAAATAGCCTCTTCCAGACTAATGATGCTCTAATTTCAGGACCCTTGATCAGAAGCTTTCAACGTTTGTTGTGCTACTCTTGTATACAGAAAGGTTCAATCAAGTAAGGCTAAAAAGGAGTGTTTCCTTTTTCAATTAAAGACATGATCCAAAAAATCGGTGAGCTAGGCATTTTATAAACTAGCTAGCCATCAAAAGTGTACCAATTAAGGACTCCTTATATTAGTAATGAGCCACATTTAAATAGCCTTAGCCAATGTTACAAAAACAAAACATCTGTGATAACATTTATGACTACAAACATAATTGGGTTTTTGCCTTCTATAATCATCTTTGAAATGCTAAAAGTGAGTTCCAACTGTGGTTCTTTTCTGGTATGAGAAGATGCAGGTGCACATGGGATGATCTACTAATGTACTTTCTCAAAGTATTCTTTGGAAGCAGCAGGACTGGGCTTGATCTGAAAATATAAAAACATTTCATTGGGTAACTAACTTTAATAGTCTCAAAAGTAAGTTGAAAGCTCTCAATCTGTAACTTTTTAAGGATTCGGCTGTTTCCTTTAAGATACATGGATGAAAGTTACTTTCAAAGCCTGCCTGGTCCACCCACCACCTCTTAGCTGCTTCACCCATTTGCACACTGTCTGCACCCCTGCTCTAAGGGTGGGCATCTTATGTGGCCATTGCAGGCCAGCAGCCCTTCATGCTGAGGACTTAGGACCCTCCACAGCACTGCTGGGGTCCCACCAGTTTTGCGAACGAAACCTACTGTAGGAGAATCCGGAGTCCAGTTTGCTGGGCAGACTTCTCCGTGGGTTTCCACAAACTGGAATGCCTTCACCAGGCGGAGGGTCTCTTCCACGCTTCGGCCGACCGGGAGATCATTGACACTCAAATGCTTGATGACTCCATTGGGATCAATTATGAAGAGACCTCTGTGTCAGAATTTATCCTCATTAGTACCACAACAGTACAGAACTAGACAAGAGTCTAACTTCCACCCTCTTCTGTCTTTAATTCTCCTTAATAAAGCATTTATTAAGCTCTATCACATGCTTAAAAGTGGGATTATCATTATATAAAAAACTTTTCATCTCATTAATGATAGATACTTTAACAAAGATGGGACTAAATCAGGCCACCATGGAAACAGGCAGTATAGTCACCTTTACAAATGTAACCTAAAAATATCTAAAAGTTACAGAGAGTAGCACAGAGTGTAAAGACTTATTTATGTATTAGCGATTCAGCACGCATTTTTGGGGGATGCTGTATCAAATCTTGCAAAGAAACCCTGGGCAATTGGGAAGGGACAGAGATGTATTTTATCTGTATTTAGTAAATACTTTTGAAATGAGCAAATTCTTGGGTAAATGTGGGAAAATACAATAGGAAAATCTTTGCATAAAGAATGTACTGGCCTTAAGTGTATGCAGAGCACAAAGCTAAAGGAAAAACCAAGGCTGTCACTCTTTATTACTTGGCAGCAATGTAACGAGATGACCTGCTCTGTGGTCTATGCCCTTCATCTGTACTAGTACTGGTGTTACTATGACAAATTCAGATAATGTTTAATCCACAGGTTTAGCAGTCTTTATTATTATTATTATTTTATTTTTGTTAAGGTATCATTGATATACACTCTTATGAAGGTTTCACATGAAAAACAATGTGAACTACATTCACCCATATTATCAAGTCCCCCCCATACCTCATTGAAGTCACTGTCCATCAGTGTAGTAAGATGCCAGAGGCACTACTTGTCTTCTCTAACAGTTGGTCTTAAAAGGGTGCGGCATTCCAAGTGCTAATCACTCAGGGAAAAGGTAAGTTAGAGGAAACTCACAAGGTAAAAAGGTGCTTCTCCTTCCCTGGGCCTGGCCCTTGGGGGTCTAGGCTCTATGGCTTGATGGGTCCTGGTGCATGCTCCTGGAGAGCGGGGCCACACTGGAGTCCACAGTGTAGACGCAGACAGAGCTAGGATGGAGCAGGCCCACGGACTCCGGAAAGAAAGCCTGATCTTACAGGTCAGTCTATACTCCTTGCCCTTGTCAATCCTAATACTGGAACCAGCAGGGAGGTAACTGCAAAATTAGTAGGACTCTTCAGAGAAGGAAATCCTGGGAGGAAAAAGCCAACACTCTTCTTTTCCTTTCTCTATCAACTCATCAAAGCTTGGCTTTAGTTTATTAAAGGAAAACAGTAATCTCCTTGGAGTAAAAAAGGCCTAAGCCCTAAGGTGACTTCCAGAGCTAAAACTTCAGGTGTAACCCAAAAGGAAAGGACAGAAGTCAGTTACAAGACAGGGCAGGTGAACAGGTTCAAGGTGGCTCCAGCAAAACTGTGAGGCACAGCAAAGCGGGGTCCTCACCTACTTCTGGAGGAAAAGTCCTTCCCAATCCTTCCAGGCAGTGGCCATCAAGATGCCAGTTCTAAGGCCTAAAATCTCATCCTTCCCAGGAAGGTTGCATTTGAATATATTACACAGACACAGGAACACAGACAGAAAGTTTTCATAGTCAAAGGAATAAAGGTCTACCTACAGAATGAATGAGGACAGGAATGAAATTCTGGAACAGGGGTCCTAGCAGCTACCAGGACCTGTGCTAAACACATTAGCAGCCTCACCATACTGAGTCCTCACAACCAACTTGGGGGGTACAGTCTCATTTTAGTTACAGAAAAGCTGGGACACAAAGAGGTTAAATTACATGCCCAAAATTATACAGCTATTAGGTAGCTGCATTTACCAAGAAAAAAAAAATCAAACTCTGGTCTGATTTATACAAGATCTTGCCCATTCTAGGATACCAACTCCTCCCCTGCTAGTACCCCCTTCTCCAACATGCCAGGAGTGTGTTCCCCATAAAAGTGGCTCCCAGACAGTTAGGGAGTAGGGCAGTGCAGAGATGCAACATCCACCTTCAGAAAGAGATACCGGTGGTGCAAGGGGCAGACACATCCTGGCCATTTCTGAAAGACTGCCAACCCTCACAGGATGCACTCAGCAGTGCTTACTACGAGGCTAACTTAAACGATTTAGAGTTTTCAAAATGTTTTGTCCAAGGTCTCTAAAAAACCGCAAAGCAGCAGGATGACGCTGAATAGGAAGACCAATTTTAAGGACACGAGGAACAGGATCTTACCTCAGTGCGACACCAGGACTTTCTAATAGCACACCATAGTCTCGGGAAATCTGCTTAGTCAAGTCTGACAGGAGTGCGATGTTCATGTGGCCCAAACCGCCAGTCTAATGAAAATGCAAACATGAGGGGCTGTCATACTGTGCGCTCTCACAGCCTTCTTGGCTGGGTGCCCTGAGGTTTGAGACTAACACTGGTGGCAGTTAGGTAGCAGGAACTGAGCTCCAACGATGGGTCAAGCCCTGCTCTAAGTCACTCACTTCTTCCTCCCAACCATCCTGGAGTAGACACTGTTATTGTCACCATTTTACAGAAGAGGAAGCTGAGGCACACAAAGGTTAAGTAACTTGCTCCAGGTCACAGCTAGAAAGCGACAGACACAAGGATTTAAACCCAGCTAATACTATATACCTTTCTTTTCCTAATTCCTGAAGTATTCTTTTAGTTGAAGATTAATTTCTGAAGCATAAAAATGGAGAAGTAATTTTAAAAATACTTCAGATGATTTGATATTGATAGTCCAGCAGCATAGCTAGAAATTTTGGTTCTCCTAAGCAAATTTTTAGGCAAGAACACTGACCATGTAACAGTGAAATCACAGAATCTAAGTGCCATTCCACAAGCCATGTGGGACAGGTGGGGTCTACGGGATAATGCCAAGAGGGGAGGCAGAGGACCCAGCTGTGCCCCTACCCTGCTGAGCCTGCTCTCCTTGGAAAATACAAGTCAGTGGAGCATAAATACAGGCAATGTCAAGAGAGAGGTGGATAGGGTTGAACAGGATTTACCTATAAATAGCCTCTTCCAGACTAATGATGCTCTATCCACTTCTCTATTAGCCTTTTATGGGATCTTTTCAGTTTTTTAAAATCCTCAGTGCAAATGCAGGGTGAATGCTTATACCTTCCTCGGCGTGTTTATCCAGGCAAGATGGCTGAAATGGGAATCCACGGAAACCGCAACAACTTCACAGTTCACATCGTGAAATTCCTTGGCTTTGTCACTAAAAGCAACAATTTCTGTAGGACACACGAAGGTGCTAGAAAAAAAGGGCAGAGATACTCATCAGAGAATTTTAAAACAAGGATTTGAAATATGAACAACAAGTAATCTAAAAACTAGTTCCATTTCTTACAGGTGCAAAGCGCAAAATGGTTAGCCTTCCTCACTGGACTCGCCTTTCTATTAAAAAATGGGTGGAGGGGGGAAGGAAAAGAGGCACATTCTAAGAATAAATAAAATATTTATTTAACTGAATAGCTTTATGAGGAAACTCATTTTCTTTATTTCTCCCATTTTTACCCTGACCAGTGAAAACTTCCTTAGACTGGCTCAGGGGAACCACTGCTCCTGGACCCGTAACAGCCATATTCAAATCCCATCTCATTGAAAAGAATGGCACTCCAGCCTCTAAATTTATCACTTGCAAATTACCTACAGATGCAAGCTGTGCTCAACAAGGGCATCAGTGATGAAGGGCCTCAAAGAACCCTCCCTTGGCGAGAAGAGCACATGGAGACGGGCACTATCAGCGTGAAGCGGGGAACCTCGCTTGCTCTCAGAATGACATCAAGGCATCATAGAAATTACACTTACAAATCCAAAGGATAGAAGAAGAGCACCAAATATTTCCCCTTAAAGTCATCAAGGTTTATTTCTTTAAACTCTCCGTTGACGACGGCTGTACCCTTAAAATAGGGTGCGTGCTGGGTGACGGCAGGGGCACAGCATGAGGAGCCTGAAAAACCCACACACACAGTTCGTCATCTGGTAAGCTGGGCATCGGTTTCACCTCATTTAAATCTCTCCCGGTAATTAACTAGTAGTATAAATTAAAAGTTCAGTTCAATCGTACATCTTTGGTAAATTTTTTTTTTCCTTCTACAGTTCCAGCCTGCACATAAATTACGGTGACTAAAAAGATGACAGAAGATGGTAGGGATGGAGTAAAGGAAGACATGAGACTGGATGTGGATTCTAAATATGGTTCAGATCTTGCCAAGTCCAGATGGGCCAGGGCACCGACGTGAAGGAAGGAACAGGGCAGGTGTGGGGCACAGCCCGTGGCACAGTTTAATCAGAACAGAGAGAGCTGGTGTGTGGGGGGAGGCAGAACGGGAGACAAAGTAAGAATGGTCAAAGGCCATGTGGAGAGGGCCCTTCAACCTGAGGCTGATGAGTTTGTTGTAAAGAGAAAAAGGAGTCGCCCCAAGTTTTCATGTAAGAGTTGGACGATGAGTCATCAGCTGTTTTTAAGGAGGACAGTCTGGCAGCAGAGGGTGCAGGGCAGGAGGGGAGACTGATACTAGGAGGGGATTTCGGTTGGCTAAGTGCAAGGTGTGGAAGGAGTAGGGTGGGAAAGAGGACAAGAAGGAAGGGAAGGATACAGGGATGTGTCAGAGCCAGTGAGAACTCGCTTCTACCCGAGAACACAGGACAAAGGAGATCATGTGTCAAAATGCCTGGGCTTCAGGAACAGGAGCTGCTGGGAGTGTAAGTTTGAGACAGGTGACTAGGAAGTTTTTAATTTGTGGCATGAAATCACTATTTACAATTATTTTAAAGCTCCAGGGTAGAAAAACTGCAACTTTTTAGGACATTTCACCCACAAACAAAGGTTTTGCTCAAGTATATGCCCCAAACCATTACATGTTAAATACATGCTTTTTGAAAGGTGGGACAAATCTAAAGGCATTTTCAAATACCATTCCTTATCTACAGCTGATTGTAGCAAAGCCCACATTCCAGAAAATAGGTGTACATCTTAAGAAACAGCTATGCTTATTTGGATCACAGACGAGGCCTACGTCATACATGGCCGATGAGCTGGCACACAGGTCTAAATGCAAAAGCCTCAGTTCCTGACAGGTTCCCGCCACTCCCAGTTATCTCACACCCCCTCATACACAGTGGGCCCAGAACGCAGCTTGTTCCTCAACACAGAGGACTGAAACCCCCTAATAACCAATAGGAAATGTGACAGAGGACACTCTGCCTCTGTAATTCTCAACCCTGGCTGCACACTAGAAACTTCATGAGCTTTTAAAAAACACTAATAAGGGTATTAAAAGTTATAATCTGCTAGTTATACAAAATCCCTGACTCAAAAAGATATATGCACCATGTTTATCCCTGCACTATTAGCAATAGCCAAGGTATGAAAACAACCTAAGTGTCCATCAGTAGATGAATGGATAAAGAAGTGGTACATATGCACAATGGAATATTACTCAGACATAAAAAGAAATCTTGCCATTTGCAACAACATGGATGGATCTAGAGGCTATTATGCTCAGTGAAATAAGCCAGGTGGAGAAAGACAAATACCATATGATTTCGCTCATTTGTGGAGTATAAAAACAAAGCAAAACAGAAGGAATGAATAGCAGCAGACTCAGACACTGAGAAGTGACTAGTGGTTATCAAAGGGGAAGAGTTGGGGCAGGTTTAGGGGGTTATATGAGGGAGACAGAAGGACACAATCATTAGCAATCACAAAATAAGTTGGTCACAGGGACAAGACAGCATGAAGAATAGTGATTCTGTAACATCTTTCTATGTTGATAGACAGTAACGGCACAAGAGTGGGTGAGGATTTAATTACATGGGTAACTGTTGAACCACTGTGTTGTCCATTTGCAACCAACATAAGATTATGTATCAATGATACTTCATTGAAAAAAAATCTTCTAAAGTAAATAAGGACCACTAGGGGGATGCAATGTACAGCATAGGGAATATAGTTAATAATAGTGTAACAACTTGGTATGGTGACAGATGGTAGCTAGATGTATCATGATGACTTCATACTGTATATAAATCTTGAGTCATTATGTCATACACCTAAAACTAATATAATATTCTATGCCAACTACCCTTCAATTAAAAAAAAATACTGATGTCTTGGTCTCACTTGAGAGATTGACTTAATTTGTCTTGGGTGGGGGGTATTGGGGCGGTATATTTTTAAAAGCTCCCCAGGTGAGCCTAATACATAGGCAGGATTCAGAGTTCCTGTCCAGAAATAATTACTCATATTTTTGTGACTGAGATGAAACCAAGGCATAACACTTACTGGTGCTAAAGGTGAATTTTGCTTGGCCATAACCAGACCACAATACATTGGTCAAGCATGTTCTTTGAGAAGCAGCAGGCCTAAGGGCTGCAGAGGCAGAGATGCCCCACGGAAAGGCGCTGACATGTCGGGCAACCTGGAAAGAGAAACATTTTATATTACAAAGTAGTCCCAGAATGGCAGACAAAGGCTGCCCTGCTGAACAGGCCAACGGCAGCCTCAGCTTTCCTTGCTCCTGTGAACCAAATTCCAAACCCCACACTCTAGGAGTATGGATTCAGTCTCCATGTTCTCAACATTCCCTTCTGCTTCCTCCTCGTTCACCACTACAGGGGACAAGAGTATGGGGAGACCATTGGTCCAAGGCTACTGTGTTGCAGTTACATAGGATGAGCCAGTCCAGGTATCTAAGGTACATGCAGGGTAACTATACTTAACAGTAATACCGCATTGAACACTGGGAATATGCTTAACATAGGTTTCAGGGGCATGCATTACTTACACAAACAGGTAACTATATGAGGAGATACATTAATTAGCTTGACTGTAGTAATCATTTATCACATATATGTATCTCAAATCATCACGTTGTACACCTTAAATAGAATTTTTATTTAAAATTATCGTTTTTTTTAAAGGACTGCAAAGTGGATAATTAAATGACCATAAAGTCCCCATGCTCTTAAGAGCAACACAAAACGTTCAACAACCAAGGGGCCTGGGCCAGGCGCCACGTAGTTAAGCCCTTTACCAGCAGCATCTGCTGAGCATGTTCCACTATGCCAAGGTTTCCTTAGAAAAGACAAGGCCCTTCCAGCCCCACAGACAAAAAAACAAGTAGAGCAAAGTTCAGCCTCTGGGAAAGTTTGGCCAGTGCTCAAGGGAAATGTTTGCTCAACTATAGAATTCAGCATGACTCAGGAAGAAGAAAGAGCCCGCGTTGAATCCCGCCAGGAGAAAGGGGAAGGGTAGGTAGCAAGAGGTACGCGGCTTTGCCAGGAGAAAAGCGCGGGGACAGATCTGGGGAGTGGGAGGAGAACAATGCCTTTTGCACTTTAGCACTTTGATTTCCACCGTCATTTAGTGGATGCTTATAGCAATGCCTTGATGTAGGCATCATTTTTTCTACCTTATTTTTTTCTACCTTAAAGGGAGAAAAGTAAACAGGTTCAAAAAGGCGAGATCACTCGTCCAAGGTCTCAGAGTCGGTTACAGAACCAGGGCCAGGTGCGTAAGTGGAAGGAGGGCCGGGGACCCGAGACTGGGGGTTTATAGGGATCAAGAAGGGGGACGGCGAGCCGTGGGGAAAGAGCGAGTTCTGCGCAGGCGCAGGGAGGCCTCCCTAGAGAACGGCGCCCGTTACTCGCTGATACCCTCCAGGAAGGGCGAAAGGACCCCAGACTGCAGGGCGAGGGACTCTGCCTGGGAAGCACGTTTTCGAAGCCACCGCAGTGTCTCCACTCCTGTCCCCAGCCGGCAGCCACTCACCGAAACCCGGAACAACCTTCCCGCCGCAACCGCCATCTTCAGTGCGCGCGGTAGTCGCCAGGCCCGCCGAAAAGCCGCGGGGGCGGGGCCTGTGGCAAGGGGCGTGGTCTCTGGCGAAGAGGGGCGGGGCGGGGCTTGAAAGAGCTGCAGCCTCCCGCCTTTTGGGGACCTTAGGCTGTAACCGTTCCTCTTGGGTCCGTCAGCCCGGATTCTGAGGGGGAATTTTCCGTTATGGCTTCTGAGTAGCTGAATGCTTGGGACAGCAACACTGTCTCCAATGTCACTACAAACTAAAGAGGAGTAATCCAGGTGGGGAGCAAACTGTTTATTTCTATATTTGCTACTGATCTTTTGTTAACCCATATGGATTACTATTTCTACCTGTTCTGTGAAAGGATCTATTTCCTATTTCAGCCTCAGGTGGAGCCTTCTGGCTTCTGCATGCGATGGAATTAATTTTAATGTCATTTTAGTTCGTTAATAAACTATGGGTCAGATGCATCAAGGTTTCGGTGTCCTAAAAACCTTTGGGATGGTGTGTGGACTTCCATTTTGGCCTCTCATCCCCAAATTGGGAGAACTGGGACATGTTTAACGTTTGTTTTCTGTTGACTAGAAAGCCAAGTGCTCAGAGGTGAACATAATACTTTGAAGCAAGGTCCTATGCCCTTAAAGTAAACAGTCTTGACGAGGGTATTCTCCAAATACCAGTCATTTCTTACGAACTTAGTTTCTTGAGTCTACATATCACCTGCATGTTATCTTTACTGTTTTCTGTTGATTCATGTTGTAAAATCTTACATTAATTTACTTGAAAGACAATGTTAACTTAAACGGAAAAACCTTGACTTGCTATAAATAGAAAGCAATTAAACTACTCTAGAACAGTGTTATTAAGTATCAGAGACATTGTTGAAAGTCTGAAACTTTGTTAAAAAGGGAGACTAAGAGATGGTTAGCAACATCTTAGTGTTACATGAGACTTCTCTTTGATGTTATCAGAAGGATTTAAAGAGCATTAAAAGGACAATAATTTTCTCACTTGGGGACTTGGTGTTATTTCACTCCCTACTTCCCCAGCAGTGCATTTCCTAAAATCCTCTCCATCACCACTAGGACAGCCCTGCGTACCAGTCCCATGCTTTGTGAAGAATTGCCTTAGAAGCAACAGGTGAGACTATAAAGCAGTCTGACCATTTTGGAAAATTCTGTGTCAGTATTTAACTGCATATAAAGATGAATATATGACTCAAAGAATTCCAGCTGTAAGTATATACCCAAAAAATATGAGTACCTCAGTTTATCAAAAGAGGCCAAAATGTTCATAGAAATGCTATTATAGTGGCACAATGATGAAACTATCTGAATGCCCATCAATCATTGATGGATGAAATTGTAATAGTGTTAACACTGTACAGCAGTAAGAATGAATGAGCTGCCACAATGTGGGGAAGTCTTGAATGTAACACTGAGTAAAAGAATCCAGAGATGAAAAGGTAAACACTGTGTGATTCCATTTATATGAAGTTTAAAAACAGGAAAAACTAATGTACAGTTGACCCTGAACAACACGGTTTGAAAAGCACAGGTCCGTTTATCTGCATATTTCTTTATTAAAGTACCATTGATATATAATCTTATGTTAGTTTCAAATATACAACACAGTGGTTCAAGTTACCCTCATATTATTAAATCTTCACCCCTCTATCAATGTAGTAAGATGTTACAGTCATTAGCTATATTCTCCATGCTGTACTACGATCCCTGTGACCAGCTTACATTGTGACTGCAAATTATTGTGTCCCTTTATCCCCTGCACCCTCCCCACCCCTCACCCACCCCAGCCCCTCTCCCTTTGTAACCACTAGTCTCTTTCTTGGTGTCTATGAGTCTACTGCTATTTTGTTCCTTCTGTTTTGCTTTTTTTTTATACTCCACAAATAAATCACATGGTATTTGTCTTTCTCCACTTGGCTTATTTCACTGAACATAATACCCTCTAGATCCATCCATGTTGTTACAAATGTCAGGATTTCTTTTCTTTTAATGGCTGAATAATGTACCGCTGTGTATAAGTACCACCTCTTCTTTATCCAGTCATCTACTGATGGACACTTAGGTTGCTTCCAAATCTTGGCTATTGCAAATAGTGCTGCGATAAACATAGGGGTGCCTGTGTCTTTTTGAATCAGGGATTTTGTTTTCTTTGGGTAAATTCCTAGGAAAGGAATGCTGGGTCAAATGGTATTTCTATTTTTAATTTTTTGAGGAACTGCTTTCCACAGAGACTGCACCAATTTACATTCCCACCAGCAGTGTAGGAGGATTCCCATTTCTCTGTATCCTTGCCAGCATTTGTTATTGTCTTTTGGATAGTGATCATCCTGTGAGGTTATATCTGTGGTTTTAATTTGCATTTCCCTGATGATTAGAGATGTGGAGCATCTTTTCATGTACCTGTTGGCCATCTGTATTTCTTCTTTGGAGAAGTGTCTGTTCAGGTCCTCCACTCATTTTTTAATCAGGTTATTTGTTTTTCGGGTGTTGAGACATGTGAGTTCTTTATGTATTTTGGATGCTAATCCTTTATCATATGAGTCATATAGCTAATGATTCTGTAACATCTTAATACATTAACAAATATATTCTCCCATACTGTGGGATGCCTTTTTGTTCTGCTGATGGTGTCCTTGGATGTACAGAAGCTTTTTATTTTGATAGCGTCCTACTTGTTCACTTTTCATTTTGTTTCCCTTGCCCAAGGAGACGTGTTCAGGAAAAAATTGCTCATGCTTATATTCAAGAGATTTTTGCCTATGTTTTCTTCTAATAGTTTTATGGTTTTAGACTTACATTCAGGTCTTTGATCCATTTTGAGTTTACTTTTGTGTATGGAGTTAAGCAATAATCCAGTTTCATTCTCTTACATGTAGCTGTCAAGTTTTCCCAGCACCAGTTGTTGAAGAGACTGTCTTTTTCCCATTGTATATCCATGGCTCCTTTATTGTATATTAATTGACCATATATGTGTGGGTTTATATCTGGACTCTCTATTCTGTTTCATTGATCTATGGGTCTGTTCTTGTACCAGTACCAATTTGTTTTGATTACTATAGCTTTGTAGTAGAGCTTGAAGTCAGGGAGTGTAATCCCCCCAGCTTTGTTCTTCTTTCTCAGGATTGCTTTGGCTATTTGGGGTTTTTTGTGGTTCCACATGAATTTTAGAACTATTTGTTCTAGTTCACTGAAGAATGCTGTTGGTGTTTTGATAGAGATTGCATTGAATTTATAAATTGCTTTAGGCAGGATGGTCATTTTGACATTGTTAATTCTTCCTATCTGTGAACATGGGATAGATTTCCATTTATTGGTGTCTTCTTTAAGTTCTCTCATGAGTGTCTTTTAGTTTTCAGAGTAAAGGTCTTTCACCTCTTTGGACAGGTTTATTCCTAGGTATTTTATTCTTTTTGATACAATTGTATGTGGAGTTGTTTCCCTGATTTCTCTTTCTGCTAGTTCATTGTTAGTATATAGGAATGTGACAGATCTCTGTGTATTAATTTTGTATCCTGCAACTTTGCTGAATTCAGTTGTTAGTTCTAATGGTTTTTCAGTGGAGTCTTCAGGGTTTTCTATGTATAATATTATGTTGTCTGCAAACAGTGACAGTTTAACTTCTTCCTTACCACTTTGGATGCCTTCTATCTCTTTGTGTTGTCTAATTATATATGCATATTTTTTCAATAAATATGTTGGAAAATTTTTTTGAGAATTGTGACAATATTTTTTGGTTACATAAATTAAGCCATTTATTATTATCTAGCAATGCTTCAAATGGTGGCGCTTCTACTGGTCTTTCAATTCCTTCAGTCTTCTGATGGCCATGTGACAGAAGTAGTGTTGTAGGTCCCGGCACCACCACCTAGAATTTTCATGCAGGAACCATAGTGCCAGATCCCCACAGCTTGTCTCTTCATCTTACTTTTGCCACAAAAGGAGCAAGTACTTGGGGTGCTGGCTCATTTCTTTTCTCTTCACCATTTTCTTGAGGGAGGCACCATAATGGGTTCTGTACCTACCGACAATTCCAACCTTAGTGTGTTTTGCCATGTCACCGCCAACTAGGTGCAAGCTGAGAGTGATTTATGATGATTTGAAAAAGCATACTCCTTTCTCTAGCTTTCTTGATGGTAAGAACACAGTAAATAACACATGTAACAGAAAATATGTGTTAATTGTTGATGTTATTGGTAAGGCTTCTGGTCAACAGGAGGCTATGAGTAGTGGTTTTGGGGGAGTGAAGAGTTTGACACAGATTTTTGACTTTGCAGGTGTCAATGCTCCAAACCCCTGCATTCTGCAAAGGTTACCTATACAGTGTTTGAAGGCAGAATGATGGCTACCTTGAGGAACAAGGAATTAGGGGGAAGTCGTGAGGGGACAAGAATGGGGTACAAATAATATTCTACTTGTTGACCTGTGTTAAAGTTAATAGTTGTATTTACTTTGTAAACACTCATGAAGCTGTGCACTTATGATGTGGGCACTTTTAAATGTTATGCTTCCATTTAAAAAATGTATTTAAGTGAAGAAGCTTGAGGCCACATGATTCCTCCACTAGTTCCCTTCAGCATCTCATTTGTGTTTAACTGGTGCTCATTATGTGTTTGTTGAACAAATGTTGGAAAGGGAAGGGGATCCTAATGCAGGAGCTCAAAATCATACTATAATCTATAATAGAATATTATTCAGCCATAAAAAGGAACGAAGGATTGACATTGTAACATGGAGGAAACTCAAAGAAGCATTATGCTGAATGGAAGGAACTAGACCCAAAAGGCCACATGCATGTTATATGATTCCTTTCATATGAAATACATAGCATAGGTAAATCCATAGAAACAAAGCTTCCTTCCAGTCATACAGGGAGTCACTGGCTCTGGAACCACTTGTTGGACTTGTTGGTCTCCTGGTCTGTTGATCTCAATCTCAAGGCAGATCTGGCTGATCCCCAAGGTCCTAAAGGGAATGAAATACCCTAGAATCTTAGGCTCAGAAGCCTATGAGGAATTTCATACAAGGGCTTGTTCAGAATTGTAAAACGAGTGACCTAAATTCAGCTAATCTCAGCCTGTAGCCAAAGACTTCCCCTGGAAGGATAAGCAGACTCCTCCTCTGTCCATTCCAAGAAAAGCTAACCATGATTGGTATTTGATCACCAGTATCAGCACTGTTCTGCCAAGCTTTCCCTGACCACCTTCCCCCAATCTGTCCTAGTTAAGAGGACCCTCCCAGGTTCTCTGAGCATTCTAGAAAGTGTTGTGCATGGGCTTTTCTCATTGTCATTGCTCTTGTCATACCATATTGGAATTTTCTATTGCCTCGTGTTAAGTCTTAACCATACTGTGAACTTCTTGAGGGGAGAGCTCATACCTTACTCATCCCTGTGGTCCCAGTGGCTAGGCTAGTGTCTGGCTCATTGCAAGTGCTCAGAAAAAGTTTGTCAAGTGAATGAATAATCAGTGGCTGACATGGTGGCCAAAACATTCTTTCTACACTTACTCTGGAAACGTCTTTTTATTCAGCTTTCTCTAGCTGTCATAACAAGGACACACATTGTTCCTCTGAAGGGAAAAGACAAACTGACCTTGTCCACATTACCAAAAGAGTAGAAAATAACTGAAATTCTCCCTTTTGAGTTTCGGAGGAGAATTTTTGGACCTAGTGGAGGAAAAGACAAATGAAAAGATATATGCTACTTTCTGTGATGATTAGGAAAAATACCTCTCTGGAACCACAAGTTTACATTCTGGTAGTTGGGGCTACAATTAGAGATGGCAAACATTACTCTGGGTTTTGGTAAGTTCTTCCTCTTTCCATAGCAAAAAGCATTTACTTTTTTTCTTCTTTCCCCATGGACAAGGAGCCTCAAATTCAGCTCTCCCCTGGGTTCAGGGAAGATGAGGCCTCCGAACTGAGCCCTGTCTCCTAACAAAGGCCCCTCTTCCAAATCTTATCCCGATACCCTGTCCTACATTACCTTACGCTGCTCCAAGATCTCGGCGACAGCAGCAGAGCAATGGAAGGCATCCAGCAGTCCTCAGTTCAAGCCCCCGCGGTTTTTTTCACCTTCCGGTGTCCGAAGGTCTCTGCCTAAGGACGTACCTCCCAGGCCTCCGGTGACGCTGGAGTGAGGGCGCTGGCACATGGCAGGCCTGCATCAGTTAGTGTTCAAGTCTCTGCCCACCCCCGACACCCTGTGGCTTTCTTCTGGACCTTTCCCCCACCTTATCTTTGTTGCTTGTCCCCAAATTAATCCCTCAACTTTCTAAAAAATAGCCTTTACTTTTTAGAGCAGTTCTAGGTTCACAAAAAAACCGAGTGAAAGTACAGCAAGTTTCCATTTGTTCCCTGACCCCACACCTACACAGCGTCCCCCACCGTCGACGTCCAGCACCAGGGTGGCACATTTGTCATGACAAATGAACCCCCATTGAGGTATGTCACCCCCTGGTCCACAGATCGCGTTAGGGTTCACTCCTAGTTACAGTCTCTGGGTTTGGACACGTGTAACAACACATATCCATTCTAGTGCCACACAGAGTAGTTTCATTGCCCTAAAAGTCCTCTGTGCTCCCCCTATTCATCCCTCCTGCCCCTGGCTCCCATCCCCTTTTTAGAGCTTTTAGGTCCCTATCCAGTCCAGCCTGCCAACATCTCCACTTGGGTGTCTCTTATACACCAAAAACTTAAACACAAAACCAAACTCTTGCTTTCTCTCCTCACCTCTATTCGGTGCTGTCCCCTCCACCGGCACCCAGAAGACATGCTGACTTTCCTGCACCTCCCCTCCCACCACCTCAGTCCAAACCTCCACCCTTTTCCCCCTGGAAGTCTTTCCCAGCTTCTCAGGGTCTCTTGGCAGTCAAAAAGGCCCAGGTCACTTCCATCATTTAAAAGTCAGAAAAAACACAGAATTCCAGCGACACTGTCATGTGTCTCTGGTGTCCCTCAGACCCTGCCTCTTCTTTGGGCTCCAGATTCCCAACTGCCAACACTTGGCATCTCTGTGCTGAGGTCTTCTTCAGAACTATGGAAAATGTAGAACTACGGTCTGCTCATCCCTGCGGGAAGACAGAAATTTGAGAAAATTAACCACCTGCCCAGCAGCCCTCGCAACGGCAGGACTAGAGGGAGTTTGTGTAGAAGTACCCCAGCTCCCCTGCCTCTTGGGTGGCTGAGCTGAGGTGTGTTTCCCATAGTTTCCCCTCAGATTACATTCTAGTAGTCCATGACAGTTACTTGCTGCACCTTTACCGGCTGTTTCCCTGTATGATTCCCCTCCTTCACCAACACTTCCTGTGCCTCCCAAATAAACTTCTTGCACTTGAATCTTTGTCTCAAGTTCAAGGAGAACCCAACTAGGACACAGCACTATAAAAACTGTAATACAAAATGCTATGCACTGGCAGATTATAGGATTTAGGTAATGTTAACCTTAAAAAGAAAACTGTCAGTTATTCCACCAGCAAAAATGGGTTTATTGGGAATAGCAGAGAATTGCAATACTGGACATGCAAACTACAGCAGAACCATAGGCATGTCAGGAGAACCAAGGAGAACACTCTTATAAGGAATGTCTGAGTTGGGAGAACTGCTGTAAGTAAAACCTCCACTGGAATAATTTGGGAGGTCCCACGTATCTGGCTTCTCATTGGCTGAGTTGACATCTCTCATTGGCTGGGCTGTAGTGGGGAGTGGGAAGGTGGAACGAACCCTTCTCTTCCTGCTGAGTGGTAAAGTAGCTAAAGCAGTATGGTGTCATCTCTAAAAGTGAGATCTAAGGTTTACAAGGAGCGATGGATATGGGAGCTTATCCTGCAGGACTGCTGGTGCCATGTGTGGAGAAAGTAAAAGTTCCTCTGGCCAGGATGCTCAACTCACCTGGCCCTTGTCTGCTTGCTCACTATACATGCGTGGGCAATATGTTATTATTGACTATATAAAGAGCTCCACCCAGTGCTCTGGGCTGCTGCATGGTTGCTATAAGTCTGCACGGTTGCATGGCTGCAAGGCTGCAGGAGAACACCCTCCATAATCTAATCCAAAATCACTTGCATTTAGTTGTGATTTAATCTAATCCAAAACACATTGCATTTAGTTGTCAGGGCTTTTTATTCCCCTTGAATCTGAAACAGTTCTCAGTCTTTCTTTATCTTCCTTGACCTTCACAGTTTTGAAGAATATAGTCTGGTTCTTTTGTAGAACATTCCCCAATTCTCTTGTCTGGTATTTCCTCATGATTAGATTCAGGTTAAGCACTGTTGGCAGGAACACTACTGAAGCATTGCTCCATAATTTACTTAACCAATCTGCTCTTGTTGGAGATATCTGTTGTTTCAAAATTTTCTTCATATTGTTAAGTCACAAAGCATGAAAATTTTCACCAATATTGTGATCTTTATACCTCCTTATAGCCAATCTTTGTACATATTTTTACCTGTTTCTTTAGGGTATATTTCTAGAAGTGGAATTGCTAAGACTAAGGTTGGGTTTGCTTTTATGATTTTTGATATATTTTGCCAGATTCCCTTCCAGAAAGGCTGTGCTAGTTTACACTCCCTCTACAGTGAGTGAAAGTGGCAGTTTCTAGGAGATTTTGCCAACACTGGATCCAAGCAGTTTAAAACATCCTTCTTTAAGCAGTCTGTACTTCTCACATTGAGTTGTCTTCTCTTCCAATTTCTTGTATGTGTGACTACTGGATCCTAAGAGCCCAGAAGCTGCTCAAAGGCAGGGCTTGCATGTCTTATTCATCTTTGTGGTCTCCCTCAGTGCCAAACTGTGCCTCCTTCTTAAAAGTCACTCAATAAATGTCAAAGGAAGGAAGTAACAACTGATGACACCTTATATGACTGTTGGATTCTACTGCTACCAAAAATGTCAGTAATATTAGTACCGCAAAGTCCCATAGGCAGAGCCCCTCCCAGCTCAGGTTAGCAAGTACTCCAGCCTTTTACCAGTCTCCATGCCCAGGACCTCTTCAGAGCCCCAGAGAATCTTTACATATTGTCCATATTGATCCCAGGCATGCTTGTCACCTCAGGCATCCACCCCACTGCAAACACCTGCTCTGGGCTTCTGGGCTCTCCTCTTGCCCTTGTTCCAGAAGCTTCTCTGGGCTGCTGCCAGTCTTCCTGTACAGACCTCTAGGCCCCAGGGTGGTCACATGCCTTTCTTTCAATTCCCCAGTGCCAACTAAAACAAACGATTGCTTTAACATGAAGGCTTGAGTATAACAGATGGAATCATATCACAGATAAGTAATAAAGCAGGATGTGAACTGTCCTGTTCATGTATTCTGTCCCCTTCCTAGCTCGTTAGGGATCCCTTAGGGGCCATATCTCTCCTTTGCAATACCCCTCCTTCCCTCATGTTGCAGAGTTCTGCTTACAACCTGGGACACCCTTGATCTTGCCTCCTTCCCCCAATACTGGGTCCTCTTCCATCCCTTCACCCCCTCTCTTGGCTTCTCCCAGAAAGAGAATCATCCCTAGTGATCAGCCTCCCCTGATGAAGGCATCTTTTAGAGTATTGTTACGGTTTAACTCATTATTCCCAACTTCTCCAGAGGAGGAAGTTGGCTTGGCTTTAATGTAACTAAAAGTCCCTCAAAATGTTTTCCGAAAAGAAAAGATCCTTCCTCCCCCTCAGATGAATCTTTCCTTCACCCTTACTATAATAACAGAAAAATGCTCTTTGCCTGAATTGTGACCCCTTTTGGTCATCAACAGACACCAAGTCATAAAGCATGTAACATAAACACTAAACCTCAGTTTTCAGAGGCTTATGATGGGCTCCACCTCTCTGCTCTGTTAAAGCGCCTTCGGTGAAGGGCCCCGAATCATGAGCGCGGAGAAGGCACATTTCATTCCCCCAAGAGCTTGATCTGCTGGGGCCAGTGGGTGAGAGGCTGAGTATGGGTAGGACGGGAGAGTGTACTTGAAATAAAGACGCTCTTCAGTTTTCGTCCTGTCTTTGGTCCCCCCCAAATGGGAACAAATATCTTTCAAAGAGGAGGGAGGATGAGGGCATGCAGAGCAGCCCTCTAGCTCGTGGGGTGGCCCAGCTCCTAGTTTGGAATTTCCTAATGGCGGTGCTTATCATGGCGGGAAGCATCTTTCCTTTAGTGGAATTCCAGCACACCCCGATGTAAGGCAGGCCGTTTCCCCGTTGTCTGCCCCCCACTCCACCACCCCAGAAGGATTTCTTTCAGCATGCAGTGCTCCAGGCCTCTGTTCGTCCTCCATTTGATCTCTTCCTCCTCTTCTCTGCTCTCCCTCCGTCCACTCATCGACAGCCCTGGACTAGGCCTCCTGCTGTACTCTCTCTTCCCTGCAAGATTGGGGCCACTTCATAAAAATGCTACAACTTCCCTGACATTTGAGAAGACCATGCAGTAGAATGCAAACAAGAGCTGTGTGTGGAATCAGAGACTGGTTTTGGAGTCCCAGCTCCAACTTTCTGGTTAGGGGTCTGATTTCTCTGGCCTTTAATTTCCTTATCTATAAAATTAGAATAGTAATACTTATCAAGTAGTTTGTAAATTGTTGTTCAGCACATTAATATTAATTCATTACTTTGTGTAATCCAAGCATTCCTCAACTATTACTTGGATTAAAATCTTTTCTTTTATTGAGGTAGAATTCACATAACATAAAATCAACCATTTTTAAGTGTACAGTTCAGTGGCATTTAGTACGTTCACAATGTTGGAGAAACACCACATTCATCTAGTTCCAAACCATTTTCATCACCCTAAAATAAAACCTGGTCTCCATTAAGCAGTTGCCCTCGTTCTTCCTACCCCAGCTCCTGACAGGTCCTGGCAGTACAATCTTTGAATTTTCTGGATATTTCACATAAATGAAATTATGTAGTATTTGTCCTCTTGTCTCTGGCTTCTTTCACTCAGCAAAATGTTCTTGAGGTTCATCTACCTTATAGCCTTGTACTGCATGCCTTTTTATGATTGAATAATATTCTAGTGTATGGATATATCACAATTTGATGGACATTTGGATTGTTTCCACCTTTTGACTATAATAATGCTACTATGGACATCGTATACAAGTTTTGTGTGGAAACGTTTTCAGTTCTTTTGGATATATTCTTCGGAATGGAATTGCTGGGTAAAGTGTTAATTATGTTTAACTTCTTTAGGAATACAGGGTTTTTTTTTTAAGGAATAAAAAAATGAATGTTAGAAAATCAGGGGTGATAGAACTATTCCATGTCTTGGTTGTGTTGGTGATTATGTAAGTTTAGGCATTTGTCCAAATTCACAGAACACCAAAAGAAGTGAATTTTATTTTACTGTATTTAAATTCAAAAGGTAGTTGACCAAAAGAACCCAAATGCTCATAAGTCTTTAAAAAGTCATTATCTCAATGCTATGGCAAAAGGTGGGTAATAATAAATATGTTCATCAGTGGATGACTAATTAAAGAAGTTATGGTCCAGCATTCAATGGAATGAATATCCTATCTCCTTAAGAAGGATGAGCTAAACTTCCCACGAAGCACAGAGAGCCAGATTCAGTCTGGAGAGGAGGGAATTTTTTGGAATCCCCATTGGATCCTGGAGCACATGATGGGTATGCAGCTTGAGAATAAATAATGGAAATGTGCTATGAGCTAATAACCACTTTACAAGCAGAATTCCTTTTGTAGCACAGAGGAACTATTTGCATTATATAGCAACACACTCATGAACTCACTTCAGACCACAAAGCATGGAACCTGAGACTTCCTTTTGCCATTTGGGGGCTGGTTGCAGCACTCTGGAGTCCATGCTAGATGGCGTCCTCTCTCTACAGAACAGATTATGACAGTTTGTGGAATGAGGTTCCTTCATGAGTTCATTTCTATGCCATGATAACCCATTGCTTCTACAGGAGGGAATGACACTGCTCCAAATCTGTTGGGTGAATTAGATACTATATTCTATTTAATGTAATTGTCAGAAAAGCAATCTGTGCAAGCATTACATTTTTAAAACTCCAAGTATTTTTTGAGTCCATTTAGCATGTAAGTGGCTAGCTGAGACTTCAAGGAGGGAGCAAGTATACTCTACTTTTAGTGAAATATTCACACAGCTGCAATGGCCTTTCTTAGGACAGTAAAAGTTTCATACTAAGGTCCCAAAGATAATTAGGCCCATAGTCTCTGGAGCAAGAGAAAGTTTATGTTATTGCAGCATTAAGGTCAAAACTGCTGGAGCCCATCTCACCTATGAGTCATCTGGTTTTAAGAGCTCCAAAATTGCATTTTGGAGGGCTCCACATTACATTCAATTCATCTCATGTCCTCCTTCTCTTCAAGAAGCAATTCTACCTTTATTGTCAAGATTGTATCCACATCTCCATTGTGGATTACCAGGCTCAAACAAATGAACCTGGCTGTGGTCATGTCATTGCCTGATAGATGCTAGTCATAAAAAGACTGTAAGTAATGGTTTAGATTCTTTCCTTACCCATATTAATAGAAAAATCATTGTTTTTTAAGTAGCTTACTAGAGAAGGGGCTATTTTTTGTTCTCTCACTCTGAATTGTTTTACTTTTGCTGTGCAATTTCACTATTTGAACATTTTCCTCCATGTAAATGATTGCCCAGCCCTGCACCAAACAAAAAATGCCCAGCTTTCCATGTGCCATTTTTTAGGTAAATATCTTGTGTTTCACTTAGTCTGAAAAGTGAATGAAATTGGTCTGCTAATTTTTTTTTAATTGTGTGATCAGTTTAGCTACTGGGCTGACTGCAGAAGACAGCTAGATTTGAGGTTAGAGGAACAGTCAGAGAGCTTAAGTTTCTGGGACCAAGAAATTACCTGGGGCTTTCTGTTATGTTGGCCTCTCATACGAGGCCTGCTTTCCCTTTCTAATCTTGGGGCAGGGATATGGGCATTTGGTAGTTAATTAGTATGGAATATTAGCACCTAGAGGCCTAGGTGGGGCTGAGCCATGCCATATTTGCTCCAAGTCAGCAAATATTGCCAAATGCTTAGTGTGTGTAAGGTGCTTATTACTAGGTTTTAGAGAGAAGGGAACTGAAAGATGAAAACGATACATTTCAGGCCTTTGAGTAGGAAAGGCAGACACTTACCTAAATAGCCTCCCACCACTTACCAGCTGACTTTGGGCAAGAGACCTAATTTTCCTAGGTTCAGTTTCTTCTGTACACAACGGAGGTAACAACTGTGTTGCAATTCAGGGCCCAAATAAGTCTACTGTGGGGACCTTCTTAACTGAACATGGGATCGGGAAGGAGGCCTTTCCTTCTCACTGAAGACCATGTTAAACTGCTGTGTTGCTAAGAATGGAGAAAGTGAGGTTGGGACCATCAGCAATTATGGGTGTTTCAGCAAGAATCCTTTTCTGAACGTACAGCTAAGAACCCAGCAGATGACCCTATAAAGACTTGTTACCAAGCTGAGTGTTTAGATGTCTTTGGTCACAGTCACCTGGCAACACCAGGGTGAAGCCTCCCAAAAGATTTGTTAAGATCAGCTGTTTCATCTTGAAACCAAAGGCTGCTAAGACCCCATGCATTACTTGGAGGTCAGTCTTTTCCAAAGTGTGATATTTCTACTACTTCTCACATTTCACAAATATTGGTTAAGATGAATAGTTTTCGAAAGTGACTAGACTTTAATGAAAAATAGTAAGTAAATCGATGAATTTCCCCTATAGGTGGTCTACAGCATGGCAAACACGTTAACGTCAACCACTGGGCCCACTGAGGAAGGGACTTCTCAGAAGGAGGGATGTAACTGGAAACCTCATGCCTGCAACCCCCTCAGCTCTCAGATCTCCTCTCTTGGAATTTTCCTGGGAGCCTTTAGTAACTTCTTCCTTTCTGTTTCCAAAGTCCTTTGTGTATTTGTCCATAATGACCCTCATTCCTTTTATCTTGGTTTATGCCTCCCAGGTTGCTTTCCTTCCTAGTGGCAAGCACTCCAGCGAAATTACCTTTGCCTTCCTTACAGTGCTTGCAACATAAAGGTAAACTCTGAAGGAGAAAACAAATGGGAGAATGAAAGCACTGTCTCCAGCTGTTTCCTGGTGATCAGAAAGCTGCGAGGCCAGGAAAGGGATGAAAACTCCAGCTCCACACTATTAAGAAAGTCAGTTTGATTATTCAGGCAAAAGCACTACATATTTTAGGACAAAGATACGACAAAGATTTTCCAGAATCGTTGATTTCTACTTACAAGAACTCTGAGCAGCTTTATCCATGCAATACAGGTGCCAACAGATGATAAGATTTCCTGTTTCTTTTGCATTTCCAGCTCAGCTGTTCCTGAATGGATTTGGAAGTATTGGTCTTTGGCATATTCCCATCCTGCTCAAACTCACACCGTTTGGATTTCCATTCTTGCTCTCCTCACACCGTTTGGATTTCCATTCTTGCTCTCAGCCAGCAAGATTCCCTACTTACCTATTGATATTTAATAGACTGTTCTTCCTTGAATCAAACCAATTTGTCAAGAGGTCTGCAAGGTGTTAAGTAGTTAATTGAAAGGAATGAAGCTATAATGGTGCAATTACGGACTGGAATGGAAAACTCCCTTAAGTCTTAATCATTTAGCCAACTGCCAGCTTTGCTTTTTACAATATAATTTAAGTTCACTTTGGCAGCCAAACAGAACAATCGCAACCAAGTTCTGCTGGCTAGCCTGAGCTAGCCAGAAATTACGTGCATAGACTGTGAGTCAGACTGCTAGGTTCAAATCCCAAATTTCTTATTATTAGTTGTGTGGTCTTAGGCAAGTTATAAAACCTCTCCTAACCTGGTGACTTTATCTATAAAATGGGGCTATGTTCTCTACCTCACATGGATGTTGTGTTCAATGAAATAATCTAACTAATGCACTTGGCACAGGACCTGGCCCACTGTTGATGTCCAGTAAATCTAGCCATCATCATTCCATTCTTGCATTGGAATGTCCTAATTTCCTCAGAAGCACAGATCCTTGATGTAAAGTCATTTATTTTGTAGGCAGGACATATCATGTAGCAAAGAAAGAAGTAGGTAGGTTTTCACTTACTGAAATGACTGCATAGAATTCACTTTTTCTCTCTGGGCCTGTATCACATCTGTAAAATGAGGCGGGGACAGGTGGGGATTATCCAGGGTTGCAAACTCAAAAGTCTATAAACTCACTGGGGACTTGGGCTGGGTATCAAGACAACAGAGAGTGGTGGGGAATTATGGTTAACTGTACAGCTTTGCTACTCAAAATGTGGTCCACTGATCAGCAGGATTGGCAGAACCTTGGAGTTAGACAGCAGACTCTCAGGACCCACCTCACACCACTATAACAGAATCTGAATTTTCACAAGATCCCAAGGTGAACTGTATGCACATGAAAGTTTGAGGAGGCTGCTGTGGAGCATAAGCCATCTAAAGGCATTCAAACTTTTTTTTTTTTAAGTCAGCCAAATAAACTTTGGGTTGCATCAGGGCTTTGGCAACCAGCAAATGCAAATGATCATGGCAGACGGTGAGCTTTGAGATGCTGCCAGCATTTAGGATTCTCTGAGAGATACCCTTTCATTGTAAATTAGGGCTCTGGACATGTGCATTAACACAAGCCTGAGTTGTTTAGAAAAATTAATCTTGGAGCGGAAGATGCCTAAGAAGTCATCTGCTCAGCTCCCTGCCTTCTGACAAGTAACTATATTGCCCCCATTAGGTAGGTGAAGCCCAGCTCCAAGACCCACTGACCCAAACCAAGACACTAGGAAGTGATGGTGGTGGGTATACTGGGTATACTCTATTAGGAACAAAGGCAGTCCTGTGCTGACAGAATCAGCAACCGTTCCTGTTTCCAATGCCTGGAAAGGCCAATAATTTCTTTATATTCTCCAGAGCATAATAATTGTTCTCCGTTTCTCTCGGTGCCGCCCTGCCACTTCCTGGCAGCCCTGGAGACATAAAGTTTCCTCCTTTAGGGCATAGAAGGCCCAGAGCCGGCTTCTCAGTGGATATCCCGCCCGCAGGATGCAGAGGAGGCAAAGGCTTCATTGTTCTTGGGGCCAGGCCACCCCTCCCTCAGCCCGGAGAATGCTCATCGCAGACCCTATTTCCCAGGAGTGGGGCCTTCAAAGGAAGCAAGAAGAGAGGCTGAGTGCAGATCCGGAGACTGATGTTCTGAGCATACAGTGGAAAGGCGCTAAGAGCCCCAAAATAAATAAACCCGGAATTTGAAAACGCATTTCCATCAACCGGCTCAGCGCAGTTACTCATTAATGCTCCCCACAGGCGACTCAGACGATTCAGTCTGCATTTTTAAAAATGATGAGTTTGGTTGTAATGAGGATCGTTGATTTGCGGGCCTCGCGTGTGAAAGGCAGTTTAGTAACAAAACGAGCCGTTTCCCACGCCCGGATGCTCCAAGTCTCGGTGGTGCCGGCGCGGGAGGTCCCGGGCGCTGGAGGCGCGGCCCGAGCGGACTCGCCGCCGCCGCCGCCGCCGCCGCCGCCACAGGGGGGCGCTTGGGCTGCGCGGCTACCACCGCGGTCCCCGGCGCCGACCCGCCGCAGACTCGCAGACCCCTTCGCGCCCTCGGAGGAAACAAAGTACACCTTTGTCAGCGACCGGCGCACAGTGGCTGGCCGCCGCGTGCGGGGACCGCGGGCGCGTCTCTGGGCGGCAGCTCCCAGTGGCCCGAAGGAAGTGGGGTGCGGCTCGCGTCCGGGTCGGGCTGACCTTCCTCCTACCCCGACACGCCCCGAGGGGCAGCCAAGACCCGCGCCGGTTCCGGCCGCGGCGCTTCGCCTATCGGCGCAACCGTGGCCTGTGGACTTCACTTTCCGGGCTCTCGGCAAGGTGGAAAGCGGGAGAGCGCGAGCGGGCGAGTCCGGGCCGCGGAACTGCGGGCTCGCCTCGGCAGGGCTGCCTTTGAATCTCCTGCCTCCCCTCGCATCCTCGCGCCCCTCGGTGGCCCCAGCCGCGCTTGCGCCCGCCATCCTGGGTCAGATCTCTCGCTCCCGCAGCCGCGCGCCAGCCCGGCCCCAGCGCGGCGAGCCGTGAGGACTACAAGTCCCAGCAGACCCCGCGCCTTGAGCGCGGAGTCAGGAGGCGCGGCCCGGCCTGGCGCCTGCGCAGTTCAGGAGCCCAAGCCTGCTAGTACCACACCCCCGGGAGGACCGAGGGGAGGCAGAAGCATCCGAGGCATTAAAGCATCCGAGGGAGCTCGAGGGGAGGAGAATGGAGTGACAGAGAAACGCGGAGGGTGGGGGG